CACCGCAACCTCCGCCTCCTGGGTTCAGGCAATTCTCCTGCCTCAGCTTCCTGAGTAGCTGGGATTACAGGCATGCACCACCATGCCCAGCTAATTTTTTGTATTTTTAGTAGAGACGGGGTTTCACCATGTTGACCAGGATGGTCTCCATCTCTTGACCCCGTGATCCACCCGCCTCGGCCTCCCAAAGTGCTGGGATTACAGGCTTGAGCCACCGCGCCCGGCCCTCAAACACCATATTTTTTTAAGATTTAAAGAATATCTAAAATGGGTCATCTTCCATTGTGGAGGGAAATGACTATTTAGCAAGCATTTAAAAATCATTAAGGTCTCTGCCTACAGAAAAACTTAATTTTTGTAGTGAATGCTCAATAGATACATATTTTTGTCTTTGTTGATTAGACTATGCTAAAGATATTCAACAAATGATGCAAGTTAAATTGTAGCATTATATTATGGTCAATTAAAATGAGAATGAGAAAAAAGCAAGAAACAGCCATTAAAAATCCACACAAAACGCAATCGAGACACATACAAATACATACTGAGGTGAGGGCAAAGCTTGCACCTGTGGAACCACATTAAAGAACAGCAGATGAAGAAGAGGGAAAATCAGACCATTCTATACTGGGAAGCAGAGACAGGCACTTCTTGTTTTGGCCTCCCCATGAGATGCATTTTAAAGCACGTTTGTTGCTAAGACTTTGGAATTCATGTTGCTTTTCTTCAACTATAGGTACAAAGGAGTATATCACTTTTTATAGCTGTTCCAAAAGCTGGAAGATACTAAGCTAAGGGGCAGAAATGGCCTAAGATAATAGAAATGAGGAAGTAGGCTAGAATGATTACAAACCTCCAAGATATTTAAAGATGTCTAAATAACTATTCTAATTACAGTGTCTCCTATGTTTATGAGATACTCTATGATTCTTGAGTCATTTCAAATCATTCTGGGACATATATGGTGCAGTATGCTCAGTTCTGCATTGAAGTCTAGAGACAGTAGCCTAATGTTCCTAATTCACTTTAGTATCTTTTACAAATGGATCTTAGCTTTGCTCTAAGCTTTCTGTTCATGGTCTTAGAAATTAGCCAGGTGCTGTCTTATTCTAATAGTTAAATGCTTTTGAATTATGTGAAAATCATTAGCAAAGGAAAATAAACTGTAAGACCGTAGTTAACTGAACATGGTCTTAACATAATCAAATCCTTGTAATGGATTTTATATTTTAGGCAACGTTCTTCTGGACTACACTTTACTTTCATTCAGTTACTGTGGCACCTACCTGGCTAGTTACTCCTCTCTCCCAGAATTTGAACTGGCCCTTTGGTAAGTTTCAGCATCCTGTGGAATTCCTTTTACTGGGTTACATTTTCCTCTTACTGTTCTGGATTTTATCAAAGGAAATAGACATGAAAAATCTGAAACAAGGAAATATAGAAGGAAAAAATCCCAATCACAAGTTTTAATATAGTTGCTATTTTTAGGCATAAAATTTGGCAGTCAGGGCAAACACTATATGAAAACTAAATTACTGTCATTCTGTTTTATTAACATGCTTTATGTATTCTCAGATAATATATTTATAAATACATAAAGTTTCACTTAATAAATGGCATCTTGGAGTTGTTTGCATGTTTCCTGCTAATATTGAAATTGAGATGGTCTCTATATTAGAGTTCAGTTTAAAGTAATTGTTGTTAGAGACATTAGAATAATTATATGTTCAGAGAGTGGAGTATTATACCACTTTTGTCTGCTGTATGGGAAATACCTGTGGTTAAGATACACTTCTGGTCTTTCTTGAATTATTTCATGTGGCCAATTTTAAGGCTGTACTCCCTCTTCTATCCATCATATAACCCCTTCAAGGGGATATTTTTCTTATTTTCAAGGGGAAGTACAAGATATTCCAGGAATGATTAAGGATAATATACCAGTATTCCTTTCTTTCTTTCCTTTTTTTTCTTGAGATGGAGTCTCGCTCTGACACCAGGCTGGAGTGCAGTGGCGCAATCTTGGCTCAAGGCAACCTCCGCCTCATGGTTCAAGTGATTCTTCCGCCTCAGACTCATGAGTAGCTGGGACTACAAGTGTGCACCACCATGGCCTGCTAATTTTTTTGTATTTTTTTAGTAGAGGCAGGGTTTCACCATGTTGGTCAGGATGGTCATGCTCTCATGACCTCATGAACCACCTGCCTCAGCCTCCCAAACTGCTGGGATTACAGGTATGAGTATATCAGCATTTCTTATACAAAAATGTAAGAACCTAGATTCAGGGAGCCAAATTTAGTTTATGTAAAAAAAAAAAAAATTTTTTTTTTTTTTTTTTTGAGACGGAGTCTTGCACTGTCACCCACGCTGGAGTGCAATGGTGCAATCTCAGCTCACTGCAACCTCCACCTACCACGTTCAAGTAATTCTCGTACCTCAGCCTCCTGAAGTCGGGATTACAGGCACCTGCCATCATGCCAAGCTAATTTTTGTATTTTTGTAGAGATAAGGTTTCACCATGTTGGCCAGGCTGGTCTTGAACTCCTGACCTCAGGTGATCTGCCCACCTTGGCCTCTCAAAGTGCTGGGATTATAGGCATGAGCCACTGCACCTGGCCCTAAAATTTTTTAAAACAGCTTTATTGAGGTATAATGGACAGATATAAACTGTTCACATGTAAAGTAAATGCTTTGATAAGTTTTGACTTATGTATATACCCATCACCATAATCAAGATAATAGATACATCTATCACCCCAGAAAGATCTTCTTTATTAGCCTCTGTCAGTGATGTGTTTTCTGTCACTCTAGCTTGCATTTTCTGGTAGTTCATATACAGGGAGTCATACAGTGTCTATTCTCTTATCTAGTTTCTTTCATGCCGCATAATTATTTTGAAATTATCTTATGCTGCTGCATATATGTGTCAATAGTCATTGCTTTCTAATCCTTGGTATGGATATACCATACTTTATTCACCTGTTGTTGATGTACTGTATTAGCTTGCTAGGGCTTCTGTAACAAAGTATCACACACTGAGTGTCTCAGACAACAGAAATGTATTATCTCACAGTTCTGGATATACAGGATAGCAGGCAGGATAGGAAGCAGCTGGGGAGAGATGACAAGTGCATACATTCTGATAATTCCAAAAGCAGAAGGCTCCAATTGTCCTTCCTAAGTACAACCTGTGAATATTAAAAAAAGCAGTGAAGGGGAATGAGCACAGATGTGTTAGTATAACAGACTTAGACCTGAATCCTGGCTCCACAAATTACTAGCTGTGTGATCTTAGAAAGGCTAAGTCTTAGTTTCTTCCTCTGTAAAATGGATATATCAATATCTCCTATTTCCTAAATATGGTTTTTCTAATAATTCATTGAGTAAAACATATGTATCATACCTAATAGTGTCTATTACATGATGTTTATTTAAGTCAGAGTTTCAAAAATGATGATTGTTAGGCTAATTCTGGGCCACCAATGTATTTTGTTTAGGCCATAAAATATTTTTAAAATTGGAAAAATTTAGAGAAAAAGTTATCTGTGTAGACTTTCTCAAACACAGGCAACCCTGGACCTTTATTCCCACATGGTCACAGTCTGGTTTGGTCTAGTAAGTGGTTGCTCGTTCTAGATGCCCACCACCTTGAGCAGGGGTCAGTAAATGATGGCCCATAGGCCAAATGTGGCCCACCACCTGTTTTTGTAAATAAAGTTTCATTGGAACATGCTATTTGGTTATATGTTGTCTATGGCTGCTTTTGCTCTGCAGTAGCAGACTTGAGTTGTAAAAGAGCTCATATGTGGTCTGCAAAGCTAAAAAGATTTACTGTCTGGTCTTTTTAGAAAGAGCTTGCCAACCCCTGACCTAGAAGTGTATATACTCAGACCATTTCATCGTTTACATTAACTTCCTGGCCCCTATAAGTATTTGAGTTTGCTCACTGGATTTAATCCATTCAATAAGCTTGTATCTCCTGCTTCCTACTGGAAATAAAACATATCTCTTCTTAGGTACATTTTAGGTATATCTGAGTCTTCTGTAGGGGGCATTTTTGATAGGCTGAGGTGAGACCAAGACTATGGGTAGGTAGTATCTTCTCCCTGTCCCAACCCTTCCCCTAGATTTTTTTTGCATGTCTTAATATTCACGTCCACTTCCATTTAGAAAATTTGAGTCAGAGCGGGCAGGAGTGAGAAGGGCAGGGGAGGACAAGGTAGATGCTGTGGGGAGGGCCAGACACTGCTCTCTCATGAGGAGATTCTCAGTGAGGCTCTGTGGCAGCGGAGGTGCCCCGGGGCCCAAGAATGAGTATGAACAGAGCTGGGAGACAGACACTCCTCCAGCCTCTGCTCTGGAAACCAAGATTAGAAACTTTGGCAGCAACCCTGATGGCACCGTTGGGTGCTGCATAGAAATGTGAGTGGGATTTAATCCTGTGATGAGGGCCAGTAGTCCTCTTCACCAAGTAGCTTTGCCAGCAGTGGGCCTAAACACAAGGGAGCTGGAAGATAAGCAGGGAGGAGGATGCAACTCACTTGGTGACAGTAATTTAGTAAAAGTTCAAAAGAGGTGAACTTCTGGAAGTCACACAAGGAGGAGCTCAAGTACCACGATTTGACTCCAGGAAGTAAATTGGTCCAAGAAGACTTTACCTTTATGTTCTATTTATTTATTTATTTATTTATTTATTTTTTGAGACGGAGTTTCGCTCTTGTTACCCAGGCTGGAGTGCAATGGCACGATCTCGGCTCACCGCAACCTCCGCCTCCTGGGTTCAGGCACTTCTCCTGCCTCAGCCTCCTGAGTAGCTGGGATTACAGGCACGCGCCACCATGCCCAGCTAATTTTTTGTAGTTTTTAGTAGAGACGGGGTTTCACCATGTTGACCAGGATGGTCTCGATCTCTTGACCTTGTGATCCACGCGCCTCGGCCTCCCAAAGTGCTGGGATTACAGGCTTGAGCCACCGCGCCCAGCCTTACCTTTATGTTCTAATGTTTTAAAAGAGCAGAATGGATTCATATATTATTTGTGTTATTAAAAATAACAATTTTGAAAAAGAATCTAAGTAGAGAATGGTCTTATGGTTGTAGTCTCAGGCTGGTGGGGTCTGGGACATCTGAGGTTCACAAGCAAAGACAATATGCTGTACACCAGCTATACCACCACCATGAGTTTCATCAGAGAGGCATTCACTGAGATTGCCAATGGGTTAGTCCATTTAATCCCTGCCTCCCCTCCCCGCCCCCACAAAACCCTCATGAGACATCTATGATGGTCCTTATTTTAAAGAAAGAGACTGAAACTTTAGAGAGATGAGATGTTAAAGTAGAATTTTCAAACAGCTTGTGAGTCGTAAGGTGGTTTCGTATAACTCCTTGATAACAGAACCAGCAGGAAGACAAAAGAAGTTGGTCCCTGTCTTAGTAAGCTATCACATAATCCCATGGACTGGGTGGCTTATAAACAACAGAAATTTGTTTCTTACAGTTCTGGAGGCTAGAAAGTCCAAGATCAAGGCATTAACAGCTTCAGTGTCTGGTGAGGGTCTGCTTCCTGATTCGTGGATGATAATTTCCACTATATCCTCACATGGTGAAAGGGATGAGCTAGCTCTCTTTTATAAGGATACTCATCTCAATCATGAGGGCTCTGCACCCTTGACCTGATCACTCCCCAAAAGTCCCAATCCTCCAATCCCCAATACTATTACCATTGGGGTTAGGATTTCAACATAGAAATTTTGGGGGCACGAACAGACCATAGCAATTCCTGAGTGCTTAAAAGAACATACAGCAGGCACTGTGGCTCATGCCTGCAATCCCAACACTTTGGGAGGCTGAGGTGGGTGGATTTAATCCTGAGGTCAGGAGTTTGAGACCAGCCTGGCCAACATGGCGAAACCCCATCTCTACTAAAAATATGAAAATTAGCCAGGTGGGTGGATGCCTGTAGTCCCAGCTATTCGGGAGGCTGAGGTAGGAGAATTGCTTGAACCTGGGAGGAGGTTGCAGTGAGCTGAGATCACACCACTGCACTCCTGGGTGACAGAGCGAGACTCCACTTCAAAATACACACATACACACACACATACACATGCACACAGAGTTAGAAAAAGGAATGGTTAAATAATATTTCTAGGTTAGAAACATGAATGATTAACTTTCCAGAGATCCCTATAACCTTAGCTACTTAAACTTATTTTCTACCAGGGAACAGAATCATAGCATTGTATATGTTCTAGTGTTAAACTCTAACCCTAAATGCGTGCCTGCTTTTATCACATTGGGGCTGTTAGTATACTAGGATAACAAAGTTACATTCTCCAGGAGTATCAGATATGGGGCAAAACAAGGTACAAAGTCTGGTTTTTGTTTGAGGAGGCTTATTGGAAAATGCTTATAACACAATGTGAGAAATCAAGCCAACACAATTTTTCTTTTTTCCAAGTTTTGGTTTTTTTTTTTTTTTGTTCTTATAAGCTACTTCCCTAAACTTATGTAGTTAGTAAGTTGTTGAGTGGGCTTTAAACTCATTTGGTTTCTAAGCTCTTTCATAGCTTTCATTAATCTAAGGTACAATGGGAACATGTAGTAGGGGTACCTCACCTAATCTGATGGTGTAGGGGGATGGTCAGGGAAGGCCTCCTGGAAGAAGAGGTAATGTTTAAGCAGGTACGTGTATTAATTAGCTAGACCTACCATAACAAAGTACCACAGCCTTGGTGGCTTAAACAGCATAAATGTATTGTCTCCCAGTTCTAGAGACTAGAATTCCAAGATTAAGGTCTCAGCATGGTTGGTTCCTTCTGAAGGCTGTGAGAGAGAATCTGCTCCCATGCCTCTCACCAACTTCTGCTCATTTTTTTGCTGGCAGTCCTTGGCTTATAGACACATCACCCAGATCTCTGCTTTTAGTTTTACATGGCATTCTCCCTGTGTGTGTCTGTCTCCAAATGATCCTTTTCTATAAGAACACTAGTCTTACTGGATTAGGGCCCATCCTAATGACCTATTTTAACTTGATTACCCTCTGTAAAGACCATATTTCCAAATAAGGTCACATTCTGAAGTGCTAGGGGTTAGGATATTAGCATGGGAATTTAGGGGAGGCACAGTTCAACCCATAGCAATACCTAAAGGATGAGCAGGAATCAGCCTTGTGACAAGAAGAAAGAAGATCCCAGGCAGAGGAATAGCATGTGCAAAGGCCATGAGGTAGAGAAAGCACAGTAGGTTTTAATGAAAAGTTCATAGTAATGGGAACAAGAGATATGCCATGAGAGAGGCAAGCCTGGAGGGACAGTCAGAGGTCAGCTCATGAGCAGCCATATAAGTAGGTGACAGTGTGGTTTATCATCCACATCAGGATGCTTTAGAGAGTCCTGAAAGGGGGTGTTGCTAATGAATGCAGGGCACCTAAACTGGGTTTAGCCTAAACTGGATTTCTCCTAGGCGTACTGCAAAGGATACTCACCCTCCATATAAGCTATGCTATTGGACAAATCTTTTATCCAAAAGGCAATGTGAAGCTACTAAAGGGTTTTAAGCAGGTATATGACCATTATGTCTGCATTTAAGAAGACTTTCCAGCCAGTTGTTTCCCTCTAATACTTTTGTATTGTGGAAGGTATATTGGAAGGAAACCAGGCATAAGCATCAATTAGGAGGCTGTGGTGGTCCAGGTGAGAGATTACCGTGGCATGGACTAGGGTGGGAGTAGAGATAGAGGGAAATGAAACTATTTGGGAGGTGATTAGGAGGTAGCATCGCAGGACTCGTAACTGACTAAATGTTGGGTGTGGTGCTGAGGAAGAGGGATGGGTCTAGGGTTATACCCAGAGTTGTGACTTGGGCAACTTAGGGACACTGAGTGCTATAGAGAGATAATGAGGGCTTGGGGGCAGGGAATTTAGAGGAGGCAATGGGGGAAGATGAGCTAGGGGACAAACTGAACTGTGACTGCTTGAGATGAACAAATGGAGATAACTAGTTGGCAGCTGATATATCAGTTAGGACTTAGGGTCAGTTGTGGTCACAGAAACCCAAATCACCAACAGGTGTTTCCTTCTCTCACATGCAGCTGTCTGGGCCCAAGCAGCTGTGGATGTGTGGTGGCTCCTCGGGGTCAGCAGCTCCCACTGTAATGCTGCTCTGCTGTTCCTAGGATGTTGCCCTCATCTCTAGTATTTACCCCATTAGAGACTAGTGATGAGGGCAACACTCTAGAAACAGCAGAGGAACTCTAGGAACCACCCCTGTATTTTGGGAGCTAATGGGAAGAGAAAAGGATGAGGGGAAGGCCACAAACCTTCTGTTGAAATGCAGGACTTGGAAGGTGCACACACGACTGCCACTTACACTCATTGACCTGCTCGGCCATAAGCCACAGCTAGCTTCAAGGGGGGCACTGAGTCATATGGTCTTTGTTGTGAGTGGCCATATGCGCCTGGTTAATATTTGGGGGTTCTGTTACTCAGAGGGAGAAATGGAGAATAAATGTTGGGGGACTCATGCCTTGCCACAGATATCCAGGACTGGTGCTCAGGAGAGAGGGCTGGAGATAAACTTTTGGGAATAGTTAAGTCAATGGATAGCCAAAGTGCTAAATGTAAATAAGAACACTTCAAGAAGAGCCTAAGGTGGAACTGAGAGAAATATCAATGGAAGGGACCCACTTAGGAGACTCATAGGAGTAGCCATGAAAGAAGGAGGGAAACTAGGCAAGGAGGGTTTTAGAATGTGCCTCAGCCTGGGTTCCATGGAAAGCAGAGGCTGAGGCAAGAGCTCATGCACCCCGTCTTTGGTAGGGTGTGTGATCCCAGGGCAGGAGAGCCAGTCTGAGGGCACATTACCTTGCTGGTCACCACTTGGTACCAAGTGCAATTGATTACTTTATCTCAAAGGTAGTCTTCTGAGAGGTTCTATGAACTTCCGTGAATCAGGACAGTCCTCGGGCAGTGACAGACTGTGGGTGGGGAAGGGGAAAGGAGATGATAATTTATCCACCAACTCCTCTATCCCATGGATCAAAGCTTCATTTCATAGGGTGGTAACTCCTTCACACTTTCAGGTTTTGTCGTGACTTCCTGCATCTTGTCCCCAGGAGCCACAGTGAAGCCTCTGGGCATGTGAAACAGGTGTCAGATGAGGCACAGGGCGGGTATACCTACATGAAGTTAGTAAGAGCACACAGAATTGGACAGCCAGTGAGTCAGCTAGGCAGAAGAGGTGGTCAAGGGCTCAGAAACAATTGAGAGGATCTGTGATGTCCCATAAGAGGTGTGTGACAGAGAGTCTAAGAGTGATTCCAGAAGGTGGTTGTGGTGAACAGTGCCTAGTTCTGCAGAGGTAAAGTTAGACAATGACCAATAAATGTCTGTTGGATTTAGGATGAAGTGTCTGTGGATATAGCTGTTACATGTAAATTTTCAGTGCCGCAAAAGAAGTAGCACTCCAATATAAATTTCCTCAGCAAGGAAATTTACTTCTATAGAAGGGTGTGGCTCACAGACAGAAAAATGGCGAGCACACATCTGGACAAGAGAGGGGAAGGGGTTCTTATTCCTGATGGAGGTAGCCCCTGCTGCTGTGTCATTCCTCTATTGGCTAGGGTTAGACCACACAGTCTAAGCTAATTCTGATTGGCTATTTTAAAGGGAGCAGGGGCATGAGCTGGAGTGGTGAGGTGGGTAGTTTGGCAGGAAGGACAGTTATGGAACAGGTTAGAGCAGGTAGCCAGGGGTGACCTAGGTCAAAGCAGGTGATCAGAGCATGTGATCGGGATGAGTCAGGACAGAGCAGGGGACCAGAGGAACAGATGTGAACTGCTGATTAGAACTGGTGGAAAAGGTTGTTTATTGAAACTACAAGGAAGTTAAACTTTAAAATGGAGAATTAAAGAATAAGAGAGCTGAACATACTGACATACTGATTCTTTGAAGAGAAACTTGGAGTTCACTATATCTAGCATAGCCATGTCAATGGAATGGTTGTGACAGGATGCAGATATCCTGGGACGAGGAGAGTGGATGAGAAAGCCATGGCAGTGACTTTAGAACAACTTGTTCAAAAAGTTTGGCTCAGAGGAGAGGGAAGAGAGACATAGAAAGGTGAGACTGAGGGAAGGCACTTGTGTGTTGACAGGAAGAAGTCAGGATAGAGGGAGAGTCAGAAAATGCAGTTATCATGGGTAAGCCAGTGTCCCTAAGAAGGCAAAGCTGTGGGAACCAGAGCACTGGTAAGCATATTGGCCTTAGGTAAGAGGAAGGATATACCTTCCATTGGAAGGGGATAGGAGGAGGAGAGAACCATGCAGACCCTAAAGATTAGTTATACTTGAGAGCAGGAATTCTCAGCTGATGGCCTCTGTTTTATTCATGGGCATCAAGACCATTTACCGAGAATGAGAAGGAAGTAGAGGAGTTAGAAGTTTCAGGAGAGCGGAGAATATTTTAAATGGCCATTTTAGAGAATGAGAGAGAGAGAGAACTGGCCAGAGAAACATAACAGGACTGGAGATCCTATTGAGGGTCTGGTGGGAGTGGCAACCACAAATTTATACTGTCACTGTCATGTTCAGTTTTGTTGTTTTGTTTGTTCCCATGTCTCCAGCACCCCAGGCTTCAGTTGTATCCATTCAGGGTTGATCGTCTTTGCCAGGTACCTGAGGCAAAAAGTCAAAGGATCGAGGGAACTGGAGATTTCAGCAAGAGTATGGTTGATGTGATGGTCAGGGCATAGCGAACAACGGATGAGAGCAGGAGGGAATGAAAGACAAGCTGAGTTCAATAAATATTAGCTCTAGTTTCCTAATTACAACTCTGAATGGAGTTCTGGCTCCTTATTTGAGAGCATAGCTCACATTTAATTTTTCCTTTTCTTTCATCTAGCAAGGGACTTTGTTCATGGTAGGAGTTCAGGGTATTCTCTTAAATGGGTAAATGAATAAATCCATTTTAAAATACACCACTTTAATTTTAAAAACTTAAAAAATGATCAGTTGGCATGGATGAGAAGAGTACCCCCAGATCCATGTGGAGTACTCACATGTAGTACTTACAGATTCAGGCACTTATACTTGTTTTGTAGCAAATGTGATGATATATTTCATTTTCTAGGTTTGGCTGAGTTTAATTGCAAATTTAATAAAGAAGATAAAATAGCCTTGGTATAGCATATGACAGTATGTTTTTAAAACGTACAGTTATTTTGTTTTCTTAGGATACAATACAATGATAAGCAAAATTATTTATAAATTTGACATTAATGTCATCGATTATATAAATTGTATCATAAATTATATCCCAATTTACATATATTTTTTAAAAAATAGGTAAATGTTCTCAATACATGAAATTCAAATAAATTTTTTTTCGTTAAATGCTATTTTTCTTTAAGGAACTGGGAATCAAATATCATTTTGTGCAAGAAATCACAGCCTGGTATGGATGTGAACCAAATGTCTTTTAACCCCATGAACTGGCGCCAGCTGTGCTTATCAAGCCCAAGTACAGTGAGTGTGTGGACCATTGAAAGAAGTAACCAGGAGCATTATTTCAAAGCAAGGTAGGAGGCTTTGTTACTATACAGCAGTAGTAACATGGTGGTCTTTGTTTGCATTCATGTAATGTGATTGGGTCAATTTGATGAATTAAGTGGCTTTATACATACGTATATATACATACACACACATACATATATACATTCAGCTTATCTTAACATCTTTCTACATGTGTGATTACTCTGGAGTGGTTTTTTGCATTTCAAAAAAATTCTCTGTGACTCGTTTCCCAATGAATTTATTGAAAATATTACGTTCTCTGAGAGCTTTTTTCAACATGATTTAATTTTCAAAAATTTGATTTGTCCTTACTATTTTAAAACATGCCTGTTGTATTAAAAAGGACAGTTAAGACTTTTGGCTATTACTTGGCTGCCCTACAAGAATTTCAAAAATAAGTAACGGTTAGATATAGAAATTATGCAGATTATACATTCAGCCACATTATCCACAAGCAAAGGGTAGTTGTGTATAGTGAAGCCATGGGAGTTACCTGTTTAAATAGAGCTGGGTCAAAGAGAAATTCTGTGAAAAATGCCCTGGTGATAATGTGTGCTTTTGTTGAGAAAGAGCTCAAAGGCTCAAGGTGCTTCTGAGCTGACCAGTTTTATTGTACTCCATGAAGTCAAAGTTGAGATGTTGGATCTCTTGATTTTAAGAGACCTCAAAGTATTCCCTTGAAATTGCAATTTTTGATAAATTGCCTTAAGAGAATCTAAAGCTAGTAAATAAAGCTTTCAAAATGGAAACACTTAAGAGAAGCACTTCTTTCTGCTCAGTGCTCTTTATGTCTCAATTTCTTTTTCACAATAACCCATTGAATAGCCAAATCTGTCTCTAGTGGGAGCTGACAACACTGCACCTTTTAATAAAAGTGGATTGTATCTCTATCAGATCCTTGTGAGGGCAGGCAAGTAACTTATTACACCCTTTTCTCCCTTCGCTTCCCTCGAACGTTGTACTCAAGTTCTGAATACTGAGTTGTGACTTTTCTATAAGCAAATAAATTGGGAGACAAAACAAGTGGATTGTCCTGGTTCACGAAGCAAGCAGGATTCAAACACACTTAAGCCTTACATTTGAGTAGTAGGTGCTGTTTTTATGTGATTGGCTTTCAAAATTGTTTATTGTTCATAAAATCTAGGTAAGGAAGTTTTTAATTTAATGCATGAAACAACCAGTTCTTCAAGATAACCTTTATAAATTTAGATATATGATAAAGTTGAAAATGAACTCTTGATATCAGAGATTATAAAAGTAGCTGAATACAGCCTAAATATATGTTTAAATATGTATTTATTTTGGCCTACAGTGCTTTTCATTTGAATTAATTGCCAATATTTAAAATTTGAGAGATTTCTCATAAATATCCAGGTATTCTCTTGAAATTTTGGAATTAAAATTCTCACATATCAACAATCTTCTTGGCTTGAACTGAGTGGTACCTGCCACCTTGAGGAGGGAAAAATATTTTCCCATTTTCTACCATCCTCAATAGTCACATATCACCTGCCTGACCCCCATCCAGTGTTCAAATTTACAACTCCTGCTTTAGATATTAACTTTCAACAATTTTTATAATACCTAAGTACTTAGTTTAAAACTGTATAGCTTGTTTTTTTTTTTTTACAACCTGTTATATAGTTTTAAATCTATCATTTGGCTTTTATTTTCTTATTTGATTTTTATAAGTTATAATACCTCCCCACCTCACTTACACTGATACACAGTGGTTGCCTCAATAAGAAGTTTCTCTGCCTCTGATTGTTCTGATGTCTCTTTTGTCTATAGGTTGGTAAAACTACCTCTAGAAGATGGGTCATTTTTTAATGAAACGGATGTAGTTTTTCCTCAGTCGTTGCCGAAAGATCTCATCTATGGACCTGTGCTGCCACTGTCAGCCATCGCTGGGCTAGTAGGTGAAGAGGCAGAGACTTTCCGGGTAATTACCTGGCACCTCTTCCTGTTTATTTAATGAGTTGAGGTCTAGGAAGCCTGCTCTCTTGATTGTCATAACCATCCCATGAGAAATGCAGGATAGAGAGGATCATCTTGGTTTTTCATATAGATTAGCCACAGAGACTGTGAGAGAGCAAGACTCTGGAGTTTTGAGTTTGAATTACTGGGATGATGATGGCATTGCTAACAGAAACAGGGGGCCCAGGTGTGAGTTCCATTTTGGACATACACAATTTAGGGTGCAGGGAAGATACCCAGGTGGAGATGCTGGGTGGAAGTTGGCAAAGTGGACCTAGTGTTAGGGAGGAGAGGTGGGACTGTCAGAGTCATTCTCACGGATAGGATGGTGGGAGCCCTGAGGGGGTGTGATGAGCAAAGAGAGAAAGGGTGCAAGAGAAGAGAAGGGAGCAAGAGCCTAGGGGCAAAAGAGAAGTCTGAGAAGGCACAGTCACAGGAGTAGGAGCAAACCCGGGAGGGAGGAACGAGGCCATAGGAAACAGCAGAAGAAAGTTTCAAAACAGGGAGTTTGCCAAATGTTACACCCCCATTCATTCATTCCACAAAAATACAAAAATTAGTCGGGCATGATGGTGGGTGCCTGTAATCCCAGCTACTCAGGAGGCTGAGGAAGGACAATTGCTTGAACCCGGGAGGTGGAGGTTGCAGTAAGCCGAGATAGTGCCATTGCACTCCAGCCTGGGTGACAGAGTGAGACTCCGTCTAAAAAAAAAATAATAATAATAATAACAAAAATAATTTAATGTGAGGATTAGTTCATTAAAAAATATTTCCTCTAATGAATGACAATAATTCAACTTTTTAAATGATGGAAAGAGATTACAATCAACCTCCTGTATTCATGGGTTCTACTTCTGTGTATTCAGCCCACTGCAGATCAAAATATTCAGGAAAAAAAGTTGTATGGTTGCATCTGTACTGAATATATACACGCTTTGATTTCTTGTCATTATTTCCTAAACAATACAGTATAACAACTATTTATATAACATGTATTAGGTATAAGTAACCTAGAGATGACTTAAAAGTATATGGGAGAAAAAATAAAATTAAAAAAAATTGAAAATAAAGAACAGGGGGATGTGTGTAGGTTATATGGAAATACGATGCCATTTAATATAAGGAACTTGAGCATCCACAGATTTTGGTATTGGTGGAGAGTCCTGGAACCCATCCCCTGTGGATACTCTAGTTCCTTTTATAGCACAGGTCTCAGTCTTGGAAATATAACTACATTCAGCCACAGTGGGGCAGCAAAGTAAGAACAAAGACATCAGCCATCTAGGTTTTCAACTCAAATTTTTCTGTGTTTAGTATTTGGTGCATAGAGTTCCTACATTTCTACTATCTCATATTGGGTTTTTCTGAGCAGAAAATATGTGTAGGAGCCCTTATATTTCACATTTTGTGCAAACATGATGAACTCTGCATAAAACGTTTAAAATTCAGACAATTGTCCTTGTCATTTGAAAAGTGCTATGAAATGCCTTCTTTAAATACTCAAATGTGAAGTTACTATTTTAAAATGCTCATAATAGACATCTTTATTTTTAAATCTTTTTATTTGTATAAATGTAAGGGGTACACATGCAGTTTTGCTATGTGGATAGATTAGGCAAACATCTTTATTTCCTAGGACTTTTACACTCATTGTATTTCAAACTTTTTCTGAAAGCAGAAATGTAATGTTATGACTGACATCCTCAAATCATTCAGGGATTATTAATAAAGCCATATACTTTGTATTTAACTTAGACATTTTCCCAGTAATTTACTTTTTCATTTTGTAGCAAAATAAAGTGAGGAAAATGTTTAAAACATTGATTGATGTCTGTACAATGAATGAAAGCATAACCAAAATTAGATCTCAAATGTTTTGATTCTGTTCTCTCCTTCAATGTCATTTCTTGTGACCTGGGTATCAATGGCAAGGGAATCAATAATGACTCGATCTATGTAAGTTCTTAAAAATTGATAAGCTGTGGACTCTTAAAAAATTACAAACATTAAATAATCCCATTATCTTTTCATAGCTAACACCAGAAGGATACATTACAGGCCTTTAAATAGCCCTGAGTTACATTACACAACTTATTTAGGGCATTAGAAAGGTATGCAGTTTTAAGTCTTAGCAAGGGAAAAATCAAAGGCAGATGTTATCTGGGCAGAAATTGGATCCAAGATCATGAACTTAATCTCAAGTGTCTAATTTCCTTTTTCCATCTACCTTTTTAATTTTTCCAAACAGATGTTGCTAAATAGGAATCTCTTTTAGAAACTCAAATATTTTGAAACATTTATGGAATTTTACATTTTCTAAAGCAGGATTAAATTGGACTGCAGTTTTTCATGTTTTGCTATCAAGTGATCAAAATGATTTCTGATTCTAGAGGACTGAAAAAGGAGATGGTATTATCAACAAACAGTTTTAAACACCATTAGTACCTTTTCTTTTTAAACATGTCAGAATTATAAACTATTCTTCCTGCTTACATTATCTATATAATCACATTCATTTTTAAATGGCATCGAATATATTTACCGATGAAAAAGTGACAGGAAGACCAGCCCAGATTTGTCTTACAGAAAAAAAAAAAAAAAACACATCCAATACTAGGTTAACATACCAAGGCCAGAAAATTTCAAATTTTAATCTTCACATTTTGTTTTGTACACACAGATTCATTGGTGTTGTGAAAATGAGAGACATTTTTGTTTTGTTTAGTTTAAGATTTTGAGCCTATTTTTGTTCCAGATAAGTCTGTCTTTTTGTGATTTATAGTCTAAGGTTAGATGTCATCAAAAAAACTCAAGAAACTTTTCAGTAATGGAGATAACAGTGAGTAACTCTTTTTCTTGTAAGTCAAATCTCAGTCAGACACCACAGACATGTCATTATTCAGCAGCAGTTTAATTTTTTGGAATGGGGAAGGTGGTTTGCCTTTTTCTTGATCCATTGGGTGGCCAGATCGTTACACAAGTATTTATTTTCTAACTATCTAAGGCTGTGAGGGCATGAAATATACAAATAATACAACTTAAGTCAATCTGTCCTTTAAAAAAAAAGATGATGAATGCTCAATGTTCGTGTGTTTTCTGTGTCTATGGGGTTAAGGATGGTTCCTTTTTGTCAGTTGTTCTGGTGGGTATTTCTCTGGCTCTTAGCCATGATTGTTTGCTTAACACAAGGCTTTTATTCTCTTCCTGAAGCCGAAAGATGATCTATATCCTTTGCTTCACCCGACTATGCATTGCTGGACTCCAACAAGTGACCTGTACATTGGCTGTGAAGAGGGTCATCTTTTAGTGATTAATGGAGACACCTTGAAGGTGACTGTGCTTAATAAGATAGAAGAGGAATCACCATTGGGTGAGAAACAGCCCTGCTTCATATTCCTAGTATAGCCATGGGTGTTGCTTTGGTGGGTTTTCCCTATTTTTCTCCTTCCTGGAGACATCTTTGATTTCTCCTTCTTTATCCTCTAGCTGTTACTATGCTCTTGGCATTCTACCATCACTTTATGTGCATATTTCATATAATCCTCAGAACATTATGAGAAGAGACACCTTAACCTCCATGATACAGAAGAGATACATTAGGAAACATGACCCAATCCACATAAACTGGAGCTGTCACCTAAACCCAGGCTATAAGACCTACGAGTCCAAATTCTTGGCTACTGTGCTGTATCCTTTTCTATACATATGCCCATTCTGCTTAGTCAGCTAATCATACCCTTTTCTGCCCCCCATCCCAACCCTTTTCTCCATGCTGATGATCTCTTAAGCCCAAAAGGCATCTTGAAAATAACCTTTCTTTCTATTGCTCAGTTAGAAGTGTTTTTTGTTTTTGTTTTTTTGTTTTTTGGGGTTTTTTTAGACAGAGCCTCACTCTGTCACCCAGGCTGGGGTTCAGTGGCACAATCTTGGCTCATTGCAACCCCTGCCTCCTGGGTTCAAGCAATTCTCGTGCCTCAGCTTCCCAAGTAGCTGGAATTATAGGCACACACTACCACGCCCGGCTGATTTTTGTATTTTTAGTAGAGATGGGATTTCACCATGTTGGCCAGGTTGATCTTGAACTCCTGGCCTCAGGTGATCTGCCTGCCTTGGCCTCCCAATTTGGGATTACAGGCATGATCCACCACACCCTGCCATATTGCTCAGCTAGAATTTTAAAGAGAATCTGATCTATTGTCCCTTAGATCTAGCGTCTATTCCTGACCCCATCAGCTGTGGCCATGGTTGGGCCTGGGTCACAGCAGCCACTGTCCACCCATTGAGCAGTAGATGTAGACCCTGTGAGGAGGAGGCCTTGCCAGGACAAGCTCCTCAAACCTGTCCAAAGCATTCTCTACTTCAGTTGCTCTTACTATTTCACACTTTGATTTCTGTTACAACCTTAGAATGGACTTCACTGACCTTAATCTACATCTGACCCAAACCAGGCAGCTTATCTCTGCCAAATCTCCTTTTTGAAGGCCACTTTTAACACCCAGCTCAAGAACTGCTCTGCCTTGATTTCATTCTCTCCCTCATCTGATCCTACCTGCTCTGTTAGTGTTATTTCCAACTATACCCCAGTATGAGTTTTCTGAGCCAGTCATTTATTCTCACCATTTCACAGACATGTCTCTAGCCCACTCCCTTGGTATTTATTGTCTCTGAATCTGCCAATGCCAGCTTAAATACTAACCCCTCCAGCAAGTTTTCCCCATTGCAATGTCCCTAATCTACCATCTCTCCCATTCTGTGACTCAGTTTCCCTGTAAAACTGAGGCCATCAGGTTTGACTTTCCTGCCCTACTCCCTTTCTCTCTTCCCTTTTCTCCTACTGTACCCTCCAGCCTTGCTCCTCTCTCTAATCTAGCATTTCTGTTAGTTACATAGATCTGATGATAGAGAACTCAGAAACAACTTATATGATTTACATCAGTAAAAGCAACTTTTATTATTAATTGTTGCATTGTGTTTTTAACTACATGTCACCTGCTTTACCTTATTTTTCTTTTCCAAAAGACAGAAGAAATTTTATCAGTCCAGTAACCTTGGTGTATCAGAAGGAGGGCGTGCTGGCTTCTGGAATTGTAATGTATTTTTTTTTTCAAAATTAATTGGTTTGAAGAAAATACACAATTCCCATTTGTTGCCATTTACTATTATGAGCCATATTTTAGGATGTCAGATCTGTCAGATTATTAATTAAAATTGTTTCCTCTTTGAGTACTATTAAAAAAAGATTTATTATGAATAACTTCAAATCTATACAAAATAGAGGGAACAATACAATGAACTACCATATATTATTGCAAACGGAGACAAATAGAATTTAAAAATCCATTGCCCTTTTGCAAAGAAAAAAATATCTAATATCTGTAACCCAATTCCATGCTCATTTCTACATTTAATGTATTAGGTTGTCAGAAATAAATTTGGAACATTTTGTCTAAGCTGCAACTTAGACTCTTATGAATGCCCGTTTAGCTTACATGAGTCATAGTGTTATTGTTGATATTCGAATCAGTATTAATAGCCTCCATTTACTTGGTGCTTACTTTGTGCCAGGCACCAAGCTTAGTACTTTACATGTATTATCTTATTGGTCCTCACAACAACTTTATCAAATAGAAACTATTGACATCCTCCTTTCACAGACAAGTAACCTAATCCTACAGGGTTCACCAGCAAGTAATTGGAAGAGTTAGGGCTTGAACATAGGTGTGTCAAACTCCAAAGTCTTTGCTGTCATTAATTAGAACTCAGCCTCAGTAAGTATGAAAAGGGGTCAGACCATGTTTTTCCATGCCATTGTAATCAATGTAAACAATGCTAATTTTTGGAACTGACCTATACTAAAATCTAGGTTTAGTTCTAGCTGTCCCGGATGTTAGCATAGTCTATTCCACTACCACAGTTGATATCTCCAGGACCTTGAGGGTAGCTAGGCAGTTGACTATCCCTCCTCCTCCTCCATTTTGTCTGCATTTGTGGCCTTTTTATGACTCTTGTCCTCTTCAATACCACTGTTGATGTTTGTTTAACCCCCTTTAAAGGAATGATTGTAGCATTTGCTCTGGTGAGTGACAGAGAATGAAGATGAGCTTGAAAAAAGCACCTTGTCTGTTTTCCCTTCCAGAGCCCAAGCATTTGAACCCAGCCATCTCATAAGTGCTCATTCTTAGTTATAACAGGTCTAATCTAGAAAATGATAAATAAATTTCCTCAAAATATTTTCACTATTGTAAAGATAACTCAAATTCCTCTTGAGGGTAGTAAAATTAGCCTAAATCTATTCACAACCAACCAATAAACAAACCCATTTATATTGGATACTTGCCATATTCTACCACTGTATGAGGAACTGAAAAAGAGGATACAAAGAGAATAAAAGGCACACTCCTACCCGTGGGTCATTTAGGGAAATAAGAAATGAACATAATAATGATTAAAGAACATACAAGAGGGCTAGTGTCCTTTGAAGGACATACTGCTATATATAAGCCACACAAATTCTGCTTTGTTTTCCCTACCTCCTGTGTAGTGAAGAATGTAGTAAGAAGAGGGATAGTAGAGAAACGCAAAGAAAGGACAGGTCAGCAAAGTTTTAGGTCATTGCAAAGTGTATCACAAAAGAGATCAAATTGAAGCTTGACCAGGGAACATAGTTAAAAGTTGTCTAAATAAAGATGAAAGGACAGTGCATCTGTGCAAACATAGATGATAATTCCAAATAAACAGTAGAAGTAATCATTAAGCCATAGCTTATCTGATGAGTCATGTATACTATGCACTGACTAAGACTGATTTTCTACATTTATCTCACTCATCTCTAGGATGGCTTTGTGTATTCTTTTATTATTAAAGATGGAAGTTACGTGATTGAGGATTTTCTTGAGATTGAAAGACCTGTAGAACATATGATGTTTTCTCCAAATTATACAATGTTGCTGATTCAAACAGACAAGGTATGTTGGATGGTAATTTCTTGATATGTGATTTTCAGATAATATTATTATCACCATTGCATGACAGGAATGAGGAGCAGAGTGTGCTGCACAGTAATACTCTACTAGTCAAGACTCTAGGTTGTAAATGAAAAAATACCCAATTTAAAAGGCCTAAATTACAAAGAGCTATTGGTTTATTTTTGTACATGTAACTGAAAGGGCAAGGAGTGAATCTGAATACCAGAGGTCCCATGATCCCACCAAGCCTTGTTTTTTTCCATTTCTTGGTTCTGTTTCCTCTCTACCGCCTGTATTTCCATGCAGACTCTCCCCTTGTGGTGTTAAGAGCTATATGCAGCTCTAACTTCTATTTCTGCCTGCTTGCTATCCCTGGTGGAAAGATACCAGCTAGAAAAAAAAAGTTCTGGAATGTAGACTCATTGGACTAACTGAATCACCTGTCTACCCCAGGTCAATCACTTGGACCATAGGAATTCTAAGCTCTGATTGGCCAGGCCTAAGTCACATGCCTACCCTTGGATGCTGGGTAGAGTCAGCCCACTCAAATGAGAACTGAGATTGGGACATAGGTTGTTTTCCAAAGAAAATGAGAGTTCTATAAGAGAAGAAGAAAAAGGAATTATTGCAAGATTAAAACAAACATTTACTTCAATTATACTGTTTGGAAAACTCCTAATTAATGAGATGATCTTCAGACATCAAGATTAGCAGATATTGATGTTAGACAATATTTTTAGATGAATTAATTCAATTATTTTCTGCCTAAAAGAGACTTAAATTTAAATATGGAAAGACTTTTGTTTCTGATAATTTCCAGAAGTTTTTTTTTTTTTAAAAAAACTATACTAACTTTGTTTTAATAAATAAATTACTAACTTAAAATATCTATGAAGAACAGGAAACTATGAAAAAGATATCATAAAAGGAGGAAAGACCCAAATAGAACTTCTAAAGAAGAAAAATATACTAGCAAATTAAAAATTAAATGAACATGTCTGACAAAAGATTAGCCATAGCCAAAGAGAGAATGGATAAATTGGAAGATAGATCAGAAGAAGTTATTCAGAATGTCACCTAGAAAAGCAAAATGGTAGGAAATACAGAAGGGCACATAAAAGACAAGAACAATACAGTGAAAAGATCTAACATATGTTTGATTAGAATCCAGAGAGGAGAAAGTGGGGCAGAGGCAATAATTAAAGAGATATTAGCTGGGGATTTTTCAGAATTAGTTAAAGATATGAATTTACAGATTTAAGAGGTCCAGTGAATCCCAAACAGAATACATAAAAGGGCATCAACACTTAGAGTTACCAAAGTGAAACTATTGAAAACCAAAGACAAAGAGAAATTTTAAAAGCAGTCAGAGAAAAGACAGATTACCTCCAAGGAATTTCAATTAGACTAATATCTGACTTCTCTGTGGCAATAATGTAAGAAATAGTGGAATAATATCTTCAATGTAGTGCAGGGGTCACCAAACTGTGGCTCCATGGGGCAAAACTAGTCTGCTGCTTATTTTTCAAATAAGATTTTATTAGAACACAGCTACACCCACTTATGTATTGTTAATGGCTGCTTTCATACCAAAATGGCAGCATTAAATAGTTGTGGCAGAGACTGCATGGCTTGCAAAGCCTAATATATTTATTATCAGCCTATTTATAGGAAAAGTTTGATGACCCCTGATATAATGAAAGAAAATAATTGCCACCTAGAATTCTATACTCAGTGAAAACATCTTTTCAATACTGGGGTGAAAAAAGACATTTTAGACTCTCCAAAGGTAAAAGTGTGTCAGCAGCTCACTATCATTAAAGAAAATTCTAAAGAATTTACTTCAGGCACCTTGAGTTAATTTTTGTATAAGGTATAAGAAAAAAAAAAGAATTTACTTCAGGCAGAGAAAAATGATCCCAGGTAGAAGGTCCGTGATGCAAGAAGAACAAAGAGCAGTAGTTATGGCTGGAGAATGGCACATTGTAGAAGATACACAGTAAATGAACACTGCATACAACAGCAAAAATAATGTGAAAGTAGGTTTAAAAATAATATTGAATTAAAATCCCAAATAACAATAGTATAAGTTGGTGGGGGGAGGGCAGGGTATATATAGAATAAAGTGTTACAAGGATCCCATATAACACAGGAGGAGAGTAAAGCTTTTAAGTAAATTTTGATGTTGATAAGTTAGGTATGCATGTTATAACTTCTAAGGTAACCAATAAAAGAATAGAAACAATAGATGAAATTTCCAAACTAGAGAAAGTGAAATGTTAAAAAAAATAGTTTAACCCAAAATAAGGTAAAAAAGAGAAAGAAAATGAAATGCAAAACAATTGAGATAAACAAAAAGCATAAATTAAAATCTATGTTTAAAACCAAATATAAAAAGATGTGCAAACATTAACCAAAAGAAAACTATTGGAAGTGTATTAACATTAGACAAAATAGGCTTTAAGGTAAAAATCATTACTAAAGATAAATGGGCTTATTTCAGAATAATAAAATATTAAATTTACCAGGAATATATAAATACTTAAAATATGTAATAGCTAAACACACACACACAAAAATATGTATATAGCTAATAGTGTAGCCTCAGAGACTTAAAACATGACAGAGTGAGGAGAACCAAAGCTGTTATCTGGAGCATTTTAATATACTTCTTTCATTACATGATAGAACAAACAATGTATGGCTGGGCGTGGTGGCTCACACCTGTAATTCCAGCACTTTGGGAGGCCAAGGCGGGCAGATCACAAGGTCAGGAGTTCGATATCAGCTTGACCAACATGGTAAAATCCTGTCTCTACTAAAATTACAAAAATTAACTGGGTGTGGTGGTGGGCACCATAATCCCAGCTACTTGGGAGGCTGAGGCAGGACAGTCACTTGAACCTGGGAGGTGGAGGTTGCAGTGAGCTGAGACTGTGCCACTGCACTCCAGCCTGGGTGACACAGTGAGACTGTCTCAAAAAGAAAGAAAGAAAGAAAAAATAAACAATGTGTTCTCAACGTAGCAGCTAAGGTGAGCAAAGTATTTTTCTTTACTAAGCAGAGCCCTCCAGTGATTTCCTGTGTCATTCTGAGTAAAAGCCAAAATCCTTACTATGTTTTAAAAGGCGCCTCATGACATGGACTGCAATTCCCACCACTGGCTTTATCTACCAGTACTGTGAATTCTTGTCCACCCTGCTCCCACCACACGGGCCATCATGCTGTTTCCTTGAACCTGCCAGACATGCCTCTCCATCAGAGTCTTTGTATTGGCTTTTCCCCCTGTCTGGAATGTTCTTCCCACAGAATCTACATGGATTGTTTCCTCATTTCCTTCAAGTCTTTTTTTTTAAATTTTTTGAGACAGAGTCTTGCTCTGTCACCCAGGCTGGAGTGCAGTGGTGCAATCTGAGCTCATTGCAACCTCCACCTCCCGGGTTCAAGTGATTCTCATGCCTCAGCCTTCTGAGTAGCTAAGACTGCAGTGTGCACCCAGCTAATTTTTGGATTTCTAGTAAAGATGGGGTTTCACCACGTTGGCCAGTCTGGTCTCAAACACCTGGCCTCAAGTGATCTGCCCACTTCAGCCTCCCAAAGTGCCAGGATTACAGGCAGGAACCTTCAAGTCTTTTCTTTAAAGTTACCTTTCTTCCCAGATCTGATGATTGGGCTGCTTGTTCCCCTGGCCTGCTAATGAGATGCAGATGAACTGGGAAAGAAGGGAGTTATTTCTGTAACTGGGCATAGGAACAAGGCTGGGAAAATATCACTGGACCAACTCAGTATTACAAAGTTTTCCAGAGCTTATATACCTTTTAAGCTATATAACTACATGTAAGTGTGCATTCATCTAAAGACGTAAGTGATTAACTTCTAATCTATAACTAAGGTCTAGTCCTGAAGACCTTCCTCTGGAGCCTTAGTAAATTTACTTAATCTAGATGGGTTCAAGTGCCAGGGGTAAATACCCTTATCTTGTCTCTTGCTAAATCATGGAGATTTGGGGAGTTCCTTTGGACCCCCCAATAAAACTTGTTTGTAGAGGTCTGAGGAGTTTCTTCAGACCCCCAATAAAACTTATTTAATCCTAAACGGGTCCTGTTAAGAATTCCTTCGTTATCTTATCATGCTTCAAGGCCCAGGAAAGGCCTAAGCAAAACTCTTGGTGGGCTTCTTTTATATTCCAGCCTTTGTATAAGGGTGCTGGCTCTATTAGCTTTTAATATTTAACTTAACCACTCAGTCATTGCTGAAACAGTTGTCACGGAGGCCTGCCTGTTCAGCTGTTAGTGAGACCTGGCCTGCCATGCCTTCTCACTGAAGCCTCTCTTAAACATGCACTTTAAAATTTCACCCTCTTATTTTGTTATGCAGTATTTTCCTTCTCTGTTATATTTTCTTTTTCTTCTTACAATTATCACTGTTTAACTTACAGTATATTTTATTTGGTTATATTATTTATTGTCTGAATCTCCCAGCAGAAGGTAAGCTCCATGAGGGTAGGATATTTTGTCTGTTTTATTCTCTGCTGTAACCCCAGCATCTAGAGCAGTGACTGGTGCTGTAAATCCACTTAATATTTATTGAAGAAATGAAAGAAAGATAAAATTAGTAAATATCTGCCAAATTTTGAACTCCTATAGAGTCATATTTTTTAGGTAAATAAGACCAGAAATATTTATATTTAATTCAAGTAAACATGAAGAACTTGTGATCAGCTGAAAGCAGACTTCTTACTGCTCGTTAAGTGATCATATTATATTACCAATTACTTGGTATAGATGCATACATTACAGAATAGACATTTTTTTTTAGAGGTGAGTTCGGGAGCTGAAAATAATGTCATAAGGTGACATACCTCAATAATTTCTACAAAGGCTTGTTTAGATGTTTAGTGCCCCTTCCGTGTGGTAGAATTTAGTACATCTTAACAACTTTTTGGATTTTCTATATTTTCCAAATTTTCTACATAAATAGATACTGTTTTTGAAACAGAAAAAAATGTCTTGTTATGTCTTGTAAATTAAAAAACGAATGTCTGGGAGACCAGGAATGGTGGCTCATGTCTATAACCCCAGCACTTTGGGAGGCCAAGGAAGGTGGATTACTTGAGGTCAGGTGTTTGAGATCAGCATGGTCAACATGGTGAAACCCTGTCTCTAGTAAAAATACAAAAATTAGCTGAGCATGGTGGCGGAGCCCTGTAATCCCAGCTACTCAGGAGGCTGAGGCAAAAGAATCGCTTGAACCCAGGAGACGGAGGTTGCAGTGAGCCAAGATCGCACCACTGCACTCCAGCCTAGGCGACAGAGGGAGACTCAGTCACAAAAAAATTTTAAAAATAAAAAAATAAAAATAAAAAATGAATGTCTGGAATTGAAAAAGAAAGTCTTATGGTTATTTAAAATGATGAGGCCAGGCGTGGTGGTTCATGCCTGTAATCCCAGCACTTTGGGAAGCCAAGGTGGGTGGATCACCTGAGGTGAGGAGTTTGAAACCAGCCTGACCAATGTCTTCAAACCCCATCTCTAGTAAGAATACAAAATTAGCCAGGTGTGGTGGTGCATGCCTGTAATCCCAGCTACTCAGGAGGCTGAGGCAGGAGAATCACTTGAACCTGGGAGGTGGGGGTTGCAGTGAGCTGAGATTGTGCCATTGCACTCCAGCCTGGCAAAAAGAGCAAAACTTTCAAAAAAAAAAAAAAAAAAAAAACAAAACTAAATAAAATAAAATAAAATGATGAATAAGTGAATGAATGAATGAATCGATCAATCAATAAACAAACAAATCAAGGGTCTAGATTTTAAGCCCCTCACGGTCAAGGTCTTACTGAGCTGATCTATGATTTCCCATTATCTGTTTCCACACAGTGCCTTGGTTACAGTAGACATTTAATAAATATTTGTTGAACTGTATACACAACAATTACAATATGTTTCTTTTCTTTTGTATGTTTTTCAGGGATCTGTTTATATCTACACTTTGGGTGAGAAACCCATCTTAAATAAAGTCCTAGATGCTTGTGATGGAAATTTTCAGGCAATTGACTTTATCACACCTGGAACCGAACACTTCATGGTAAAGAATATTTTACTGTGTCACAGTAGGACTAAAAATATGATATTGCAAGATTTAAATCCCTATTTATATGTTATTGGGTAACTTTGAGAGTTCATGTGCAAAGCAATGCAAATAGGAGGCAGAGGCTGTCCTTGAAGACTGTGGTGGAGATGCCAGACACTTCTATCCTCAAATCTATCCCCCAGTTAGAATGATGTCCTTATATTGTGACTTCATAATATCATCGTCTGAAAACAGTCAACACAATTGAGATCTTAGGAGTCATCTTTTGGTTTTCACCACCCAAGCTCTGCAAACCAGGCTTGAACACATTTTAAAATACATTCATTGCTAATGAGTCATCAACACTCTGTAAACTATTAGTATTTATTTAATAATCTTTTTTTCTGGGTAATGCAGCAGCACCACCTGAGGTTGAAAATAAATTGTTGCCATGTACAATACATTAATTCAGTCTAAGGAGTCAATAATAATATGTCAATATTGACTCATCGTTTGTAACAAATGTACCACACTAATGCAAGATGTTAATAATAGGGTAATTGTGTGTGTGGAGGGGAAGGGGAAGGAGAACTCTCTACTTTATGCTCTATTTTTCTGTAATCCTGAAAACGCTCTAAAAAAAAATTCCAGTAATTTAAAAAAGAACAATGTATTGTTTCCTATTTCTACATTTGTTCAGTAGGCAATAGTTTCACTGATTTTTATAAGCAACTTTTAACTTTAATATGTTACATGAAAAATCTTTATTTTACTTTCCTAATACTAATTAGCTATTATGTGTTACTTAAATTGCATTAAAGATACTAGTTAATATTTGTTCAGAAAAGAAGCATTGACATTGAAATTATAAAATAAGTATAATCCACATAAGTAAAATAAAATTTCATACTAAATCATCAGATTGACACACTGGAAAGGGAGGTAGAACATGCTCCCATAGGAAAGTCTTATTTTCCATGTATAGTTTTATTTTTCTTTTTGTTGCAGACACTTACACATTCAGGGGAAGTTTGTGTTTGGTGGCTGGAGGATTGTGCTTGTGTAAGCAAGATTTATCTGAATACCCCAGTAAGTATACTTGATAAATGGATTTTTTAAAAATACATTGAATTTGAATCCAATCTACCTTTTCATATTCTCACATCGATAGTCTGTGGAAATACTTATTACAGAAGCCTCACTGCATTTTTGTCTTATAGATTTGGAGTAATTCCTCTGTGTAAAGTATATACCATAGCCCCAAGAGTGGAACCATAGCATACTATATTGGTTATAGGAAACAATAAATTTTTCTGTGGTGGCAGTTGTTTTTGAAACCCCAGTAGTTTATATCTTACTCATGCCATAAGTTCATTGTGGATTGGCAGGGGTCCCTCTTGCGCAGGCTCTCAGGGAGCCAGGATGATGGGGGTTCCACCAAGGAATAGCTCTTCTGTGCTGTGTGGCAGGAGAGGAAGAGAGTACTGGAAGGTCTTTTGGAGGGAGAGGGGGTGCTCTTCAATCAGCAGTTAAGTACTTTTTCTCAGAAATGAAATATCCCTTTGGTCATAACTGGTTAAATGGTCCCATTTATTGAGAATCAATTAGAAATGAAAGCAAATTGCCACTCTAACCAGTTTAAGCCAAAAATTAAAAAGCGAGTGTTATTGGCACTATCAACTATAAAGTACAGAACTTATCTGGCCTCATGTGTGCCTCAATCCAGCATCTTAAATGATATACCAAGGACCTTGTCTTTCTATCTCTACACTGTGCCTTTAGTTTCATCTTAGGCCTCACTGAGGTGCACCCGGATACCTCAGGTGCCAACCTCACATTATACTGTCAGAGAGGGAAGAAAAATTCCTCTTGTAGGGGGAGGAAGAACAAAGATGCTTCTTCTTTCCAGAAGGTTCAGTAAATGCCTTCTAATGTCTTAATAACATCTCTGAACTAATCATATGCACAGGGGATGAGAAATGCAATTAAATGCATAATTAATGCACAAACTCAGCTCAGGAAATAGGAGTTAGATTGATTCCATTCAACCCTGAAAATAGGGGAGGGATAGTTTCTCCGTGAATAGTCAAGAGATCTTCCAGAAGGAGGGTGTATGGGTGCTGAGTTGCAAACTACACTGCCCACAACACCTATCACAATGTGATACCATTATTTCTGCCATCTTCACAGTGCATTTTGCATAAAATAATATTTTTAAAAGGACCAAGAAACAATGGTAATGCTGTCTTTTTAAAAAAAATAATATTATCATTTGCTGTATTACACAGTTCTAGTTGAGATATGGATCTTGATAGTAGGTAGGAAAGTTTCAATCCTTCCTTTTTATAATACTAAAATCTCAATTATAAAAGACTAAGCATCATATTTTGCATAAGATGCAAAAGATACATAATTCAATGTGATAAATAAAACTCTCCCACAAAAGTAAAGATAAAAATTCTTACTGAAAAAACTTGAAATATGAAAAGGCTCCATAATCTATGTGACAAAGGGTTATACATATTCCTTTCTATTAGAAATAGTAAACTAGGAGAGATCTTACAAGTGCATTTAATCACATCTCCTTTCCCACATGAGAGACATACAAATGTTTAGCAACCCACCCAGGGGCCCCATATTATCAGGATTTACCTTGTCCCTCTTGGGCAGGGAGGGATACAGGTACCATTATCCTACAGAGAATTGATCCAACTGGGTAGACAGACACAGTAATGCTGAAGCCAGGTCTCTCTGTGTCCGGGACTGTTTTGCCTTCCTTTAGACAGTAGTCCTGGAGGATCCCAGCCCAGCATCACAGTGGCAAGACACCTGGACACTAGCAGCCTCCTCTGATGACACCTGCAAAGGTACATAACACCCCTGTGGCCCTTGCTGTACATTTTCAGACTAGCACACTATTGCCCTGGAATGAAGGAGAATTGCAGCTGATTATTTTGGGAAACACACACACACACACACACACACATATCCCATAAAGGTTTTCAATTTTTTAAAAAAAAGGCCACTCAACTGGGAGACTGTGCATTCTAATGAGGCAGGACACCTGAGTGCTTATCTGAAGTTTGTCATCACATATGGGATCTTTGGGCAAGCTGCTGTACTTCCTTGTCCTGCATTTTCTGTTTTGCCAAATGAGCTCTTATGTTCTTCACCTGAGTGCTCATCTGAAGTTTGTCACCAAATATGGGATCCTAGGGCAAGCTGCTGCACTTCCTTGCCTTGCGTTTTCTATTTTGCGAAATGATCTCTTACATTCTTTTTCAGTCCTAAGTTCCATGATTTTATTCAAAACAATCCACAAAGTGTTTATAGAGAAATAATACTGATTTCTCCAGTATTATGAAAGTCAGTTTATTCTCTTAGACATCATATTCTATATAAATCATTGTGAGATAAATGGGAATTGGTTATGTATTTCTTTGGTGACTAAATACATCTTGCAGTGATATAGTCATTTTCTTAAGTCTTCCTTAGTCATACCAGCATCTCAGAATCCATAAAAATGTTTTAAAAAGCCAAGTGTGCTGATTTAAACTTGTAATCCCAGCGACTTGGCAGCTGAAGCAGGAGGATCACTTGAGCCCAGTAGTTCAAAACAGATCAAAGACCCCATCACTAATAAATAGACAGACGACAGATAGATAGATAGACAGACAGACAGATAGATAGATAAAAATTTAAAAGTGTTTAAAAGATGCTAAGAATTTCTTTTACATTTCTTATTTTATTTTTCACTATTATTGGTCTAATCGTTTCACAATCACTTTGATAGAATATTGGCATAATCATTTCATCATCATTTAGGGATAAAAATGAAGCCATGATGTAAGTTTCAAGAAATCTCTCTATAATTTTTATCACTCTAATTTCAGGATAAAAGAATAAGATGTACTGTGCCTTCTTATACAGTTTATCAGCTCAGGAACGTTGAGGCTATAATTCGAAAGAACCCACCACACAACACCTGCCACTCTTCTCATCCTGCAGGCTTTTCAAATACATTGTATAATAGCATTCTTATGTGTAGGAGAGCAGGCACAATGGAGATATGCATCTGAGGTTTATTTTAAACAGGCAACGGTTCTGGCTTGCTGTCCGTCCTCCTTCTCTGCAGCCGTGGGCACTGAGAGTGGCTCTGTCTACTTCATCAGCGTCTACAATGAGGAATCCCCTCAGGTCATGCACAAGGCCTTTCTCTCGGAATCTTCCGTGCAGCATGTTGTGTAAGTACCTTCTACTTCCAGGAGCAGCTCTGTGTCACACCCATCTGTTGAAAATTCCAGTGAGGCCATAATTTCTTTTAATTTTAAGTTTTACATGTTTCATTTGTTTTGAATGCCAATACATTCAGTCAGTTCAACACTCAAAAGGTACACAGGGCTGTGTAGCAAAGTACCCCCCATACCCAGGTCTATCCTTGGAGGCAGCCTGGTACCAATTTCTCATGTCTCTCCTGAGATGTTTTATCCATGAACAAGCAAAAACTAATAAGCACTTCTTTATATTTGTATCAATAGCCATCAAATGTGTATAGTGTGCCAGGTACTTCTGCTGTATTAACTCCATGAGGTAAACACTCTTATTGTCTCTATTTGACAGACGAGGAAGATGAAGCACAGAGTTTAAATAACTTGCTCAATAGTACACAGATAGTGAATGGCAAATGTCGGGATTTGAACCCAGGTAGTTGGGCTCCAGAGTAACTGCCTTTGCTCTTAAAAGAAGAAAACTATGTACAATGCCTCATTTCTTTTTTCACTTAATGGTATATCTTGGAGAACAGTTTATATCCACACATAAAGACCATCCTTATTCTTTCTATAGCCACATAGTACTCCATTATATGAATATACTATCATTTTTTAAAAACAGTATATTGATGAATATTTAGAGTATTTCAAAACTCTTGAAGCAATACTCTTAAGATGACAATATAGAGACTTTAGATTTGGACTTGTAGTTGCGATCATTATTACCTTTTCTTTTTAATATATTATTAGGTATTAATAAGAATGGACATTTGTATTCTGCTTTACAGCTTGAGATCACTGTAGCTTGTTGAATGTGATCCTCAAAATACCAGTCAGAAAGGTGTTATTCAGATCCTTATTAGACAAATTGGTGATTTCAGGGTAAGAGAGGTGAAGAAAAGCATTGCCCAAAATTACACATTACACAGCTAGCACACTGAGGAGTTGGCCCTGCCACCATGGACTGCCCAGCTCCACCACCCTAGCTCAGTGGGGAAGGATGGATAACCTCCCTCCATTTTCCCCCAGCCCATCTACACCGTATTTTTTTGTGCCTTTCCTTTCTCACATCTCTTATTCTAATTTGTGTCTTCCCACTTTTTCTAACTTGATAAAGTTGTAGACATGTTTCACTACATTCTTCCTCCCACTGATAGGTACCAGACACAGGGTAATGAAATGTCATTCCCACCGCCAATTTGAGAATTGCTTATTTGTGCTTAAAACATCAAGAAAGCTCTACCGACATGTTTCATTCACTTATGATGAACCAACTGCCCATCTTTACTAAATCTTCTTGACTGTATTTATTAAAGTTATAATTTGGAAATAGCATTGGCCTAAAGTAGAATGATTATATTTATATATAATCACTCCATTTGTATAAGGTCAGAGAATGTTAAAAATCACAAACCAGCCCGGGCGCGGTGGCTCAAGCCTGTAATCCCAGCACTTTGGGAGGCCGAGGCGGGTGGATCACAAGGTCAAGAGATCGAGACCATCCTGGTCAACATGGTAAAACCCCGTCTCTACTAAAAATACAAAAAAAACATTAGCTGGGCATGGTGGCGCGTGCCTGTAATCCCAGCTACTGAGGAGGTTGAGGCAGGAGAATTGCCTGAACCCAGGAGGCGGAGGTTGCGGTGAGCCGAGATCGCGCCATTGCACTCCAGCCTGGGTAACGAGTGAAACTCCGTCTCAAAAAAAAAAAAAAAAAAAAGAAATCACAAACCATAAAAATGACTGGCTTTGAACATATCTCTGTGGTCATTCAGTAAACTTGTTTACCATCTAGCTGGTGAAACAATTGGTATCTGATCATCAGATTTCTTCTTTTCTAGTTATGATCAGCGAGGAATATTTCTGTTAGTTGGAACATCAGAAGGAAAAGTCTTTGTTATCAATGCCAAATCCTCAAGCTCATTTCAGATTATTGGATTCACAGGTACAACATAGAATGCTTATTAATTAAAAATATTGATTATTTTATTCCAAAGAATTGAAGGTTATGAAAATAGAATTATATTGAAACAATTATTTATGGCATATTTTCTGAAAGAGAAACAATTAAATAAAGTTACTTAGGAGAATTCTCACATTATATTTTGATGCATTTGGAATATTAGAGTTATCTGCTTGGTACATAATTGATGCTAAATAAACTTTCTTGAATCAATTATTGAATAAATTAATGAAATGGCTGGGCATTTCTAATACTAACATACAAAGAAGTTGGGTTGATTTCTCTCAAATATTTTTAAATATTTTATTCTAAGAAAATTATTTTCTCTCTAGCGTTACATAGTAACTATATATGTATATTCTCCACACATACACAATTAAAAAAAATTTTTTTTTGCTCCTCACACTTTGCTAAGTCTCACCCCTAAATTTTTAAATTTATTCATTGGCTTATAAAAATTAGTGAGGGCCTACTAGGTGCAAAATGCCAAAACTAGGCCTTGTAGGGGGATGAAAATATTAAGGAGACGATTTAGTAGAAGAGGAAAAAGCAGAGTGGTGTGCAGGCTCAGATGCAGCAGCAATTAATTCTGCCACGTGTGAGGAGAGCAGTGGAGGTGAAGGTGGGCAGTAGTCAGGGGGTGCAGAGGATTGGAAGAGAGTTTTTTTAAGGGCTTAACGTAGTAGGTTTGAAGGATTTTCATAGGTGTAGGATAGGACATGTTAGTATTCCTACTCAAAGTAATAACCCAAACAAAGGTACTTGAAATGGTAAAAAGTCTGGTATAACAGGTAAATGGAAGAGTTTACTAGAAGATGACTATGGCAATGAAGTCTGAAAGAGGGAAGACCTTGAATATCATTCCAAAGAGTCTGGAATTGTTCTGTGGTTAATGAGACATCATCAGTGGTTTCAAGATGGAGCTGGCATGATTTGACTTGGTTTTTAGGGACTGATTCTGACACCAGTGTGAAGGATGAGGTAGGCAAAAGAATAAAATTAAAAAGAGGAGATTGGAAGCTATAATACTAGCCAAGGCAAGAGATAATAATAGTCATAATCATAATAACAGCCAACACTTATTGAGGAATGCCTTACTATGTGGTAGCCAGTATTCTAAGCCCTCGGCATGTCTCTACCTATTGAATGCTTAGACAACTTTCATGAAATTGATACTACTATCATCCCATCAAATGAGGCAATTGAAGCACAGCGAGGCTAAGTACTTGTTCAAGGTCATTCATCTAGTTAGTGACAGAGCCAAATTAAGGAAATCCAGTTTCAGGGTGTGTGCACTTATCCACAATGCACAAACTTGTGCTGCAGTTATGGAAAGAGAAAAGAGGGCACAACTGTGAGTGATGGAATTGGTAGGACTTGGTATTTGATTACATGCGAAAGGAAGGGGTCCACAATGACTCCAAAATTTCTAGCCTGAATGGTGGGAGTTTGTGATGTCATTAGTTGAAGAAGAAAGTCATAGAGATTGAGGGATAGGTTGAGCTGACGGATTCTGTAAGTTTAAAGCCAATAAACTCTTCATTTGGGCATATTTCACATAAGTTTGGAAACAGGGATATGTAGTTCAAGGCTTAATGATAGAATTTTGATCTTGAAGTCATGGAAGCTGATGAGATGGCTAAACAGAGTAGAAGTATACCTAAATTCTTAATGGGGAAAAAGAGGTGATTAAATATGCAAATTTGATGGTACCGAGTATGGTAGGACCTGTGGCTGACCTCAGAGTGGACATATATTCCATTTCATTTCATTTATTTTATTTTATAGCTAGAGTCTTGCCCTGTCACCCAGGCTGGAGTTCAGTGGTGCAATCATAGCTCACTACAGCCTTGAACTTCTAGGCTCAGGCAATCCTCCCATTTCAGCCTCTTGAGTAGCTAGTACTACAGGCTTATGCCCCAAAGCCTGGCTTTTTTGATTTTTTTTTTTAATTTTTTAAGTAGAGAAAATGTCTCCCTATGTTGCTCAGGCTGTTCTTGATCTCTTGGAGTCAAGCAATCGTCCCACTTGAGCCTCCCAAAATGTTGAGATTACAGATGTGAGCCGCTGTTCCTGGCCCCATTTTTTAATGTATCTGTTTGGCCAGAGGGTGGGATGGAAGAAGCTGGGACTACAATGCTGATTTACATTTTACACTGAAGCTGTGGACAGAGGAAGATGAGGCAGTGAAGAAAACTGAGGCTGGGCCAGAGTAATAAGAGAACTGGGAGTCATCCTCTCCAGAAACAGTCTAAGGAAGGAAGGCAGATGTAGGTACAGGCTGACACAGAAGTGTGGGTAGGGTGAGGGTGGGATAGGCTCTCATATATTTGCCAATCACAGGCGATCCATGAGAGAGTTGTTTCTATAGAATGGAGAGACAAGGTTGGGGAGGGAATAGAGGTAAGAAAATCAAGTGAGTAAGTGCCAAACCTATTTTACGAAGTTTGCAGTAGAGAAAAAGAGAGTCAGATGGTAACTGTTGTGGGACAACAGAGTTGGAGGATGGTTCTTATTTGAAGACAGCAGAGTCATGAGGGCTGAATAAAAGGAACCATAAGAGACTCAAGAAGCTTAAAAAGAGGTAATTGGTAATGCATGGTCTAATAGGAGATTGGAGGAATGGGCTCAAAATCACAGACAGAAAGGGGTTACTTTTTGTTCCTACGTCAACGTCAGGAAATGAAGGGAGAAAATGGAAACGGAGAGAAGAAAATGTGAGTCTCAGGATAAGAAAGTTGAGGTTGAGTTTATGTAGATGTCCTTGTTCTTCCTTGTTAAGTAAGAGGGAAAGTCATCTGCTGACCACCTGGGGAAAGGCTGGTATCAGGGACTGAGAAAGTGGGCACCTGCAGCACAGTCCCATGAAGAGTGGAAGAGTGAGTCTGGAACAAATCCAGGGTGGGCTCCAGCCCGGCACACCTTGCAGAGGCTAGATCAGCTGGATTTCTAATGGAGCAAACTCATAAAGTCACATTTCCACCACACCCACAGTCCTTGACCACAGATGCAAAGAAGACCAATGCCTGAGTTTACCCAATATTAAGAGTAGGTAACCTGGCTGGAGTGAACTTGTCGGGGACAGCACATGCAGGTGCTGGTTTGGGGGATGGAGGGTGGAGGTGGTACACTCTGGGGCCACCCTGGCTGGGAAAGAAACCCAGACAGGTTGGGCTGGTTTGCATCTGCTGGTCTTGACATCTAATCTAGAGAATCCCTCATCCACTCATCAAAAATGTCCCTGTAACTTATGTTTAAACATCACTTTAAATGTCGAGCAAATAATTTGGTTCTAAAGATTTTATGAAATCAAGTCCATAAGGTGATATCTTAATTGGAAAGGTAAACGAGTCTTTAAACTTATCCGTGACTGCTTGTGTTGTTGATTTCCATTTGCTTTCAGAGGTGGCCAAAGACATTGTACAGATATCCACAGTGTCTCTTTTAGAAACAGACATAGTGGAAGTGATGGTGCTTTCCTCACTTCTAGAAGCAGGAAGAAGCAGGTTGGAGATGTTCATACTGCCTATATTACTGTCACAAGGTAAAGAAAACACAAGCAACCAATTCTGTTCCTGAGCTCAGATACATGATTGTTACTGTTTTTTGGGTTTGTTTTGTTTTTCTCTTGACATGTGAAGAGGTAAAATGGCTACCTTTTGTCCATCTTTACAAAGTAAAACCTACATGCTAAACAGTGTGAAGTGTGGACTTTCCTCTGGCCTTCGTGACTCATGAGTCTGCTTTATTACCAGAGCAAAAGAGATAGGATCAACTGACAGGTCAAATTGATTTGTTATTTTTGTGATATGTCTTGTTTTGTAGCTTTAAATAGACATGATTAAATTCAGATAGGTTACAGTGTAGTTCTCTTCACTGACAAAATTATAAAGGAAGTTTTCTGGATAAAAAGGTATGAGAAAATGGATACTCTTTCCTTGTTTTAATGGCAAATTTATCTGGTTAGCAGTTTTGCAAATGCATTATTATAGAACAGAAGAGAGTAGAAAATCTCAAGTACTTTTTGTTTTAATAAGAATCTCTATAGTACTATGGGTTTCTTTTAATATGTCTCTAAGTTAATTGATTAAAAATTAATTAAGACATTAGAGAAATATTTTACCCACTATCAGTCATTTAATACTCAAGTATTTCTAGGGAGACAAGTTGTTTTTAAATCATTTTTATCACCTACTAGCTTCTGCAATATTAATTGAGCATTTAAATTTTCATTTTGCTTTTCATAATTGTTCATAATATTTTTTTTAATTAATATATGGTACAAGTGATTTCTCTTCTTTTTCCAAATCTAATAGTTTCCACAACCTTTACTGATGAAAGAGGAAGGCTGAAAGATGCACTCATTCATAAGTACCTGTATGAGCTGGAGCACACTCTGTCCTCTGCAGTCTTGGACTTTCAAAGTAAACAAATATATGGCTTCTGTAGTCACGTGCCATACATCTGTAGCTACCTTCTCCCTAAAGAAGTATGTCAGCACTTAAGTGTGCTCCCATTTATCTTAGCATTCAAGATGGACACATTGTGCTGATTAGATGTGATCCTCTTGACTACTTTAACCAAATAGTTCAGTTAACAAATGTCTTCATTATATTAACATAATTCCATTGAGTTAGATATATAATGTTATTTGTTAATCTATCATACAATGTATTTGAGCAACCTGATACTTGTGTCACATATATCATATTTGTCAGATAAACATGCATATGACACAATATTAGTTTAGTGCCTTAAAAAACAACGTAGCATTAGAAAATCTATTCTATAGATGCCAAGGGCTACAAGGTAGATGATTTGATTTTCAGTGGAACTTTGCACCTAAGCTATAAACAAAATTGCAAAAAATAATTAAACTGTGTTTCTGGCACTTTTTTCATTCCGCTGTCTTTGGACTGCTCGTGCATTGTGTCACCTCCCGCTGCACATAATGGCCCAGTGTCTTCCTGCTTGCTGCCCCTTGGCCTGTCAGTTTCCCTTGATGTCTGTCTACCCACTCCGATAAGGTCTACCTTCCTTCCTCTAAATTCTTCAGTCAAAGCCCTTCTTTCACAGAGTAGCCAGGATTAGACATAGAAATTTAGAGAAGGAAGAAATGATTTGTGGCAAGAGAAATTCAAGAAAAGTTTCATGAAGGAAACAATATTTGATCTGGACTTTGAAAAATAAATCAGATTTAGACATGGAGAAATATTGCATACAGTCTTGGTGGGCAGCACTCATATGGGGAAGCAGGGCAGGACTAGTGGAAATGGAGTAGAGAAGGGCATTCCAGACAAAAAGAAGGACATGTGCAGAGGCTTGGAGGTGGGAATGCATGAAACACACGGGGAATATTGACTACATTATTTTGACTTGAGCATGAAGATATATGCAAATGATTAGTAAACGTAAAGATTATCAGTATAGGCTGGGATTTTTAATGGCAAGTAAACAGATAAAGAAGACTTTCCTTAGTTGGCAGAAACAAACTTTTATTTGCAAAAATGGGATAACATGATGCAAATACAGGTGCCCACTTTATCACTTATCAGTTTATTTACAATGGCAATGTTTGCAGATTCGAATCTGACCATATAGGCATGTTCTTCTGTAAACCCACAGGTGCTACTCAACTGATCTTTTCTATAATGTGGTTATTTTCTTTGATTGACAGGAACATATTGATATCTACATTCTTAAACCATACCAAAAAGTGCAAAGCAGACAGTATGGACCTGGAATACTCTATTTGTCTTCACATGGATTGTTGCTCCTAACAATAGCTAAATGTGGAATTCTGTGCATCCGAGACGTTTATACTTTGGTAAGCTGTTTTCTCAAAAAAAATATTATGGATGTATATATTGATCTCATATAGAGAAACATTTTATGTGTATATAAAAATTTGCTTATGTATGCATAAAAACTTTGAAAAGATATTGAAGGTACTAATTACATTGATTGCCACTGGAAATATTAGGTCATGGGAACAGAAAGGAGATTTCACAGAATACTGTTTTATAGTTTTTGAATTTTAAGCCATTTGAACATATTTCCTATTTAAAAAGTTAAATGAGAAGAGGCATCATGGTTGAGAACCAGTATGACTCAGAAATCCCAGTTTTTGAATTGTTGCCCTATATACCAAATTGGTGATGCATTTTGTTTGAGTTCTAATCAAACTGGCTTAGTTAGCATCCTTCAGAGCATGTTATCTTCCATTCTTCACAGTGCCCATCACCCTCTCTCATTACACCCAGCCACTTCACACATAAATGGAACCTGCCTGACTCTTGAAGCCATCTGAATTCACAATCTCTGCTTGGTGAAGGCCCCTTCCCTAGCTTTATAGACTTCTGCAATCCATTCACTTCTCTGTATCTGATTTCCTATTATAAATTGATGATAATAATCCCTGTCCTTCCATACTATACAAAGATAGTGTAAGAACAAATTAGTATTGGTGAACGCGGTTTGAACTCGGGATTTTAAATGCTATGTATTGCCAATTGGCTACTTCCATACCTATTAAAATGCTGTTAGCAACTAGAAAATCACTTATGCACAAAAAAAGGCATATAACCCCATTAGAAAAGCCATATTGTAGAATCGCATTTGTAATTTTTCTGCTTTATTTCTAAACTATTTAGGAAACATTTGCTCGGTGTCGGAGTCATTCTCACCAGGGTCATGGGATTCAGTCAATGAGAATTTCGATGGATGGACAAAACATTCTGGTGAATGGGAGAGATGATGGCACCCTTGTCTACCTAAAGTGGAAGTATGTATTAGTATACAGCATGTAACCCCATGTTGTATAGTGTTTTAAAATAGAGATTTTATAATTATTTAAGTACAGCAAGGCCAACGTACCAGGAAACAACTACCGGTGCAAAGAAACTTTGTTATACTCACAGATCCCGAGAGAAGAGGGCACTGCATGCTTGGGGACTACATGGGGCAGCACAGGGTGGGTCAGGAGGCTGAGAGAGTAAGGAAAACATGGATGAGATCCTCCAGTATGGTTTCCACAGGGAGGATTGGGCAGGTTTAGGATTGGCTAATTTGAATAATATCGGTGGATTCTGAGGCATAGGTGCTGGCGTAGTTGTCTCATACTTGGCCCTAGGGTGATTAGGGTGGGGAAATGGTGGCCCTGATTGTGAAAGCTCACTAGAGGAGGTGGTTGGGGGTGTGGCCTCTAGATTGGCTGGTTTGCATTTGAAAGGAGTGCTCCAGAGCAAATTGTTTACTATCTTTAAGGACTGGTTAGCCTCCAGAAGTCAGCAAGGCCTGAGATAGCAGGTCATCAAAATACACACACACACAAAAAAGACATAGTTAATATATATCTGAGAATGATCAGTCCTATCTCTCATAACATGAGAAATGAGGACAATTCTGAACCTCAAATAACTTTAAAAACTCCTGTTTATCCCAGACGTATATATGTATGTATATATACACAGACTTTCCTAATTAGATTTTGCTTAGATTATATCAAACCGTTTCAGTCCCCAAACAAGGAAGGGATCAGTTTTAGGGAGAGACTGTTAGCATCCTTTCTTTCAAGTTACAAGTACAAACTAAATTCCTAAATTCCTCCCAGGTTAGGAGGAATGAGCAAGAACATCCAGCCTGTGAGACTAGAAACAAGATGGAGTCAGCCATGCTAGACTTCTTTCACTGTCATAATCTTTGCAAAGGCAATTTCACTCATGCAATTCATTTTGGAAAAAATAGCTTTTCATGGTACCTCCTGTGATCAAAGCAGTAATAAAATATGGCCCTTCTCTGCAACATTGTGAAAATGTTAAATGTTGTGGAGATTTTGTATCATAACAATTTTGGTAGCTACTTATTTCAAAGACTCATTTGAGGATTGCATCATTATTCCCATTTTACACATGGAATTCTCAATAGAATATTAACTTTTATCTTACAATATAAGTCTAGCATTTCTTTATAGCCAGCAAATAAATACTGTCTTAGGCAACAACAAACAAGTGGTTGATCCTTATTTATGTAGCTCAGAAAGGACATTTTGATCTGGACTTCTGACTCAAAACAAAGCTGGGTTTGAAACGATGGTCTAGGACTTATCACTTTGTGACCTTGGCATATGACAACCCCTCTAAATTATCTATTACAATGTTACTCAAGGTGGGTGGTCTGTAGCATCTGTGAGCTTGTTAGAAATGTGTATTCTTGGATCCCATCTGGACTTTGAGTAAGAATGTCTGCAGGTGGGGCCCAGGAATCTGTTTTCAAACCCTCCCAGTGATGCTGATGCACCTGAGGTTTGCAATGCCCTGGCGAATTGAGTGGAAGTAATAATACCACTCTCAATGCAGGATGGGATGATGAGGGCCACATGTGATCATGTGATTCTGTGTGTGAAACAGCACACTGCCTGGTGCATTCTGAGAGCTCAGTCAGTGCACTGGCTCTTCTTTGCAGTGGCCAAGGCTGGTACAGAGGGCATGTTGGGTAAGAGTATGAGGACAGTGTGAGGAGAAGGCACCCTAGAGAAGTCAAGAAGCTTGTCATGACCTGGAACCCATGAAAGGTTCTTCTCTAAGAAGCAGAGTCCTTTAGCCGTGCATGGTGGTGTACCCCTGTAGCTGCTTTGGAGGCTGAGGTGGGAGGATCACTTGAGCCCAGAGGTGGCAGTGAGTTGTGATCATGTCACTGTACTCCAGCCTAGGTGATAAAGCAAGACCCTTTCTCTTTAAAAGATAAAATTTTAAAAATAAATAAATATATTCTAAAAAAGAAGTAGGTACTGAAGAATAAGTTTCCACAAGGCACTGTGGAGAATTATTCACATATTTCCTTTGTTAGTTATCTAGAAATGGGAATGGTTAGTTACCTGAAAATGATACAGCTAAATGTGATTTTTAAAATTATGATTTTTTAAGCCTATTTGTTTTCTTTTTTATTAATATAGGCGGTTTGGAGGACACCTAGCCAATGACATTCTGGACTATTACCAGAAACTATTAATTTTCCTAAGCAGCACCATGGACAAGGAGAACGATTATTTAAGCAGAACACCAAGAGTTTCCATAGATTTGGCATCCAATTCTGAACACACAGTTGAGTTCCTATGTGGCTAGCCTGCTTGCTTACATTTCTTTCTTTGTAAATCAGATAGAAATTTTCAGTTTGTGGTTTTCTTTAAGCAAATGTTTAGAAATATTTCTCTTTATCCAGGTATCCCATGATTTTCAAAAAGAGAATAAGCTACCTCTGAGAGAAAATATTAAGCCTTTCTCAAAGCAATTGCAAATAGTGCATTTCAGATCTCATTTAAACCATGGTACAAGACCTGGCTTGCCTGGGAAAAAAAATCTTCCACCCACACTGGTCCTTGGTCAAAATGATCTCTTTATACTTTCGTATCACATATATTATTTAGGAAGTGTCTAGCTAGAGAACAGCATTCACTTATTCATTTAACAATATTTATAGAGTGCCTACAGAGTGCTAGGCTGTGGGGGACATAGCCATGAACAAGACAGAAAAATTTGTGCTTCCATGGAGTTTACATCCTAAGTGGGGGTTGGGGTGGGCAGGGAGAGACAGATAAGCAAGCAAATGTGGAAGAAACAGATAGTAACAAGTTCTACTCAGTGCATAAAAATAGGTTGATCTGATAGTGTTGGGATGTGTAGCCTCTCCAAGAAGACATTTAAGCTGAGATCTGAATTAAAAGAGAACACCACCATGCAAAGACAATGGGAAGGCAGCAAGAGTATTCAGGGCAGAGGGGGAAAGGGCTTGGCATGTGATATGTTAGGACCTAAAAAAGACCTGTGCAGTCGAAGTGAGCAAGGGAGAAAGTGGTGGGAGGTGAGGTCTTCAAAGTGGGAGGAGACCAGGTAACAAAGGGCTTTGTAAACTAGGTAAAGAGTTTGAATTTTACTTTATTTGTAATCAGAACTGAGTTCTGTTCTGAACAGAGGATTAACAAGGTATAACTGACATTATTGAAATGATTATTTGATGCTGTGAGGAGAATATTTCCTGTGGGGGATAAGAGGGATAAGAAGCAGGGACATTGCTCAGGAGGCTAAGGCAGAGAAGTTCAGGTAGCAGTGATGGAGGTAGAGAAGTCTTGTGCAAAGGAGAGAAGTGGTGGATTCCAGGTAGTTTTCAGAGGTAGGGTTGATAGAACTCACTGATGAATTGGACATAGAGAGAGAGGAAAAGAAAGGGCCCAAGATCTCCTAGATTGTTTTATGTGAACAATTATATAGAAGATGGTGTCATACATGGAGATGGGACAGACTGTGGAGGAAAGGGGTAGCTATGAAGAGAAAGAAGGGAATTTGAAATCAGTTTTACCCATGGTAAACTTGAGAAGCCTGTTAGCCATCCAAGAGGAGATGCCAGTTCAGCGGTTGGATGGATGAACCTTACGTTCTGGGAAGGGTCGGGACTGAATATGTTTATATGAGTCAAGGGCATGTGGATGGGATTTAAAGCCATAACACTAGGTAAGGTCATCATGAAAGCATAAACGGCAAGAAGCAGAAGAGGACCAGGACAGAGCAACTTCTGAAGAGCCAGGAAAAGAGTTCAGAGATGCAGTGGAGCCTGAGGAGGAGCAGCCAGTGAGGTTACAGGAGAGCCAGGAGAATGTGGCATCCCAAACTCTTTAAAGACATTCTGGTGCAACGTGGAGCATAGAAATAGGGTGGTGGCCAAAGAGAAACGTGATAGTCAAGTGAGAGTAGTTTTCCTAAGACAGGAGATAGTAGAGCATATTTGGATGCTGTTGGGAAAGATCCAATACAAGGGAGAAATTGATGATACAGAAGGAGATGGTATTGAAGAAAAAATTTTAAGTATTAAAACTTCAAAAAGAAGGAAAAAGATTCTAAGCACAGACAGTGGCACAGGCCTTGATGGGCAGGAGCATTTGGGTCACAGTAGCAAAGAAGGCAAAGAGTGGTGATGGTGTGACTGGTCTCATCATCTCTGCTTCCTCAGTGGAAGCTGTGGTTAATATAAAAGCAGACTGGTAGGACTTATGTGAATAAAATGTTACATCTTGAGGAGACAAAATGTTTGAGATTATTTTCAAAAATGCAACAAATGGAAAGGAATTCAAAGCCGTTACATGTGGTAGGGTGGGAGGGGACAAACTTGATGAATTTTAACTTTAAGACATTTCTGTCTTCTTCTAACATGAATCAGAAACGGAAGGCAAGCACTGACTCATCACAAGATGAATTAGTTTTAACTGATGTTAAGAAGGAAATTCCTTGGATACAACAAAAAAGCCAAGAGGTATTTGTGAAACATGGGGTGTGTTTGAAATAGTGCTCTGTAGATGCACCAAATAGATTAGCTTCCTGTGGAAACCTACTGGAAAGTTAGAAGATGGAACAAGATACTACTTGGCAGAGCAGTACAGCATACAGGTGTAACTTTTCTGAAAGCAAATAAACACCCTAAACACAGCCCAATCATTTAGATCAAGTCATATGAGCTTTAAGAACTATACGTAGGCTGACTTGCAACCCAACAATAGCCCAATCATTTAGATCAAGTCATATGAGCTTTAAGAACTATACATAGGCTGACTTGCAACCCAACAATGGTGTCCAGGTAAACCACAGCAAAGGATGAACTGCCATACTCTACTGTGGAGTGAGTTTTAGGGGATGCTTGTCTTCCTCTGTCCTGTGGACCGGGAACAAGGGAAGGGACGCTGTGGCCATAGCTGTTCAGGAAGGTGACCGACAGTACAGCTTGTGTCTGGATTTAGCCTATTGATCTAGTCTCAAGTTCCCAATAAAAGTGCATACTGGTTTTTCTTAGTCAACTATTCACTAATTTTTCACTACTTAATTATTTTCTTTCCGTTGGCCATATAATTGACATCAGTTTCATGTTGTTTTAATGTCACTTACCTGGTAGCAGTTAGATTTAAGCAAGGTATTGCAGTGGTATTACTTCATGTACACTTTTTATTTAGTCTTTACAAATTTTAGTTTCTGTTTCTAGAGAATTGCTATCTCTGTCTCTTTCTCTCTCTCTCTCTCTCTCTCTCTCTCTCTGTTGTTTCTCTTGCTTTGTTCAGTGATACGCTTGTTCTGTTTCAGGCCATCAAAAAAGAGGTTAATCTGTTTTCCAAGAAAAGGAAAGAGATAAAAAAAGGAATCAAAGCACTTTCCAAAACTGTAAGTGTTATAATTTCATATTCTAATACATTTGGCCCTTGTTCTAAAATTACTTTTTGAACTTAATTTTATTCTATGCTGAGGAACTGTACCTCCTTTTGTCTGCTTATAAGCTTAGTTTTCTGAGGTACTTTAATAAGAAGTTTCACCAATTCACACTCCATATAAACAGTGGTTTTCCCTGTCTTCCCCCAAATTACCATCTTATTTGTTTTTATAATATATCAATGTTATGCATTTATATTTTTACAGATTAAATAATACTGAGTTGTGTAGTTAAAAATAATATTTTTAAAGCAACAATTGCCCTATTTCTCTTGACTGATTCCTGCACTCCTAAGGTAACTCTTTTCACTTCTTTCCACTTTTTCGTTTGGACTGTTTACCTCTGTCTGTCTAATTAGTCTTAATACTGCTGTTATTTCTTGATATTTCTGTTTTGATGCTAACTATGGGCTTCCTGGTATGGAACATGAGTAGTTTTGTGTGTTACTTCTTCCCACACCCACTATAGCACACATGCTTGGTATACACACTGTGATATTTATATGAATATTCTTCAAAGCTGAGCTACATGGTATATTATGATTACATTTCTGCTTTTACAACTTGATTTTTCTTGGAATTAATAATTGCCTTTGTTTTGGAGTAAGCCTTTCTATGACCTATTCAAACTCAAAATGCTAAAAAATTATTCTCAATACAACCAAATACCTGAAGTGATCAATCTGTCAGTGCATTTTTTTTTTTTTTTGACAACCTCCCTTCTGGAGCTTTCCATCTTCCAGCTCCAGTCAAAGCACCTTGCTCTGCTCTATAGACCAGGTGTATGGTTGCTGTCCTAAAGATCTGTCTCCTGAGTTGGAGCTCCTATTTCCTGAGTCACTTGTGATTTTTTTTTTTGTTTTCTTGGTATGTATCCTTCAGTAACTTCCTATACAGGACTGCTGGGTTGCACCATGCTTGGGAACATCTTTATAACATAGCTGTGCTTCTGGGGTGCCATCTAAGTGGAATCCACTGTGAATGGTGCCTTGCTGCTAGAGCTGTCAGATGCTTTGGCTCTGTTCTTGAGAAAGGGTACGTGGGAGGTACATTTTCTGAGATGTGGTTTCTCTTAAAATGTGTTTATCCTACACTCATATCCATTTGAGAGTTTGCCTTCAGAATGTTGAAGTCTTGCTCCATTGTCTCCTGGCTTCCAGTGTTTGCTTTAGAGAATCCAATGCCTAACTCCCAGGAGACTTATAGGATCCTCTCTTTATCCACAGCGTTTGGAAATTTACAATTATGCACCTTGATATGTTTGATGAGTATTCTTGGTTTGCTGGTGCAAACCAAGATTCTCTTTCCTTTTCCACCCTTCTCTGAGCCCCAAGAGGCTGGCCTTTGTGGACAGTAGCAATGTACTCTCTTGCCTTCTGGCTTCTACTTGGGTTTAGGCAATAAGTGGCATCAGCAAAAGAGCCCCCATTGTTGCTGTTCATGAAGGCCAGCCTCTCGGGGCTCAGAGCATGGATTGCAGGGACTAACACCAGGGTCTTCATTCTCCCAGTTTCCTCCCTGTAGGGTTATTTGTTGGCAATGACTGCCATCCCTCTCCTGCATTTATGGTTCTCTCCAGGTTCATTAACCAGTCCCAGCTCTTGCCCTTCAGACCTAGGAGCAGAGATGGCTTGCCGCAGTTCGTAGCCTAATGCTTTATCATGTCTTGCTGGCTTTCTTTACTCTGCCAAATCTTTTTTTAAAGTTTCTCTCTTCAGTTTTCCCATTTGAATGTGTTACCTGTTTCCTGCCAGGACCCTAGGTGTTTTCTTCTTTCATGTGCTAGACTTCAATGGGCATTTTAATAGGAAACCTTTGTCTCTCAGTTTTAGAAAATGTTCTTAAATCATTTCCTTGGTCCTTTGTTTTTATTTTCCTGATTAATAGTAAGGTTGAGCACCTTTTCATAAATCTAAACTCTATTTTATTTCCTCTCCTGTGAATTTCCTGTTTATATTCTTTGCCTATTTCCTTATTGGGTAATTGGTCATTTTCTTGTTGATTATAGCAGTTCATTATTTTTATATTTTTATTTATATGTATCTAAGATAATTAGAGTTAGCTAGCCTGTGGTAACAAATAAACTCAAAGAAACATAATGGCACAGTGATGAGACGTTTATTCCTTCCCATGTGACCATCTTGGGTGGGTATTCAGCTCAGCAGCTGCTCTGTTCTACGCAGTCATTCAGAGACCCAGGCTATTGGAGACCCTGCTGTCTTTAACTCATGGCTTCTAAGGTTGCCTTGCTTGATCTCATCTGAATCAGCTGGAAAGAAAAATAGCATAAAGGTGTGCATGGGACATATCTAAAGGTAGTCCTTATTATTAGGTGGAACTGCACGCAATTGGTGTTTTATGTGGCTCCACCTACAAATATTTTCTAGAAAAGTATATGGCTCATCCTACTACAAATACTTTCTGTCTTGTCTTTTAACTTTTATAATGTGCTAAATTTTAAATAATTTTATTATAAAGCAGAATTTTAAAATTATGGCATGAACCAAGTTATTGATTTTTATTGATTTTTTTTTTGGGTTTTACATCTGATTTTAAATGGCCTTTGAAAGTCTCATGTATTTTCTTTTAATACTCTTTGACTTCACCTTTAATTTATTTTTTTGAATAGTATGACATATGGTTCCAATTTTGTTTTTTCAAATAAATAGCCCATTTCCCTGGTCCACTTTATTTAATCCTTTCTCCGCTGATTTGCAGTGTCTCCTCTGTCAATCCCTGGATATAGGATTGTTTCTGGACTCTTTGTTCTAAGATTGAGTATTGATCTTTTCTTGAGCCAATATCAAGCTATTTTAATTACTATTGCTTTATAACAGTTCTTCTATCCTGAGAATAATTCTCCTTTTGCCTTTCTTTCTTTTTTTTTTTTAATGGCCTTTTTATGTTTGCTTACTTTTCCATTGGAATTTTAAAATAAGCTTGTTAAACTCCATGAAAAACTCTGAGAATATATTGCTTGTAGTTTGATTTGGAGAAGAATTTACCTGCCAGCTCTGAACCTTAGTATATATAATTTATCAATATATATGATAAAACTTTACTGAATAATATTTTTTAATTTGAAATAAGGTATATACAGACAGTCCCCTACTCACAGTGGTTCAATGTATAATTTTTCAACCTTATGATGGTGCAAAAGCAATGCACATTCAGTAGAAACTATGATTTAAATTTTGAATTTTGGTCTTTTCCCAGAGTAGCAATATGTGATACAATACTCTCTCACAATGTTGGGCAGTGTCAGTAAGCCACAGCTCCCAGTCAGCCATGCGATCACGAAGGTAAACAATGAAAACTCTGAATACTATGTTGCCAACATTTTTGGGATATCATGTTTTATGTTTTTGCATCCCATCTTGTCTACAAATGCCCCTTTTGACATGATATTTTCATCTTATGATGGGTTTGTTGAGACATAACCCCATCATAAGTTGAGGAGCATCGGAATATTTATATATTTATATCTTTATTTATTTAGAGACAGGACTTGCTTAGTAACTCAGGCAGGAGTGCAATGGCATGATTGTAGCTCATTGCAGCCTTGAACTCCTGGGTTCAAGCAATCCTCCTACCTACCTCAGCCTTCCAAGTAGTTGGACTGCAGGCATGCACCACCATGCCCAACTAATTTTTCTATTTTTTTGAAGAGACAGGGTCTCTCTATTTTGCCCAGGCTGATCTTGAATTCCTAGCCTTCTGCCTTGGCCTCCCAAACTGCTGGGATTATAGGCATGAGCCACTGCACCAGGCCTGTATATTTATTTCTTTTATAATATATACCTTTTCAAGTTATATTTCCATTAAATATATAATACTTATATATGTAAATTATATATTTATATATCTTTATTCAATTTTTATAAGATAATCGTCAGTGAAAATTTATAGTTTCTCTAAAAGTGACATCGTGTAAATTTCTTATTAGGTTTATTTTAGGTATCTTATAGTTTATACTGTTTTTGTGAATGGAATATTTTTCTATTACATTGGTGATATGGTTTGGCTGTGTCCCCACCCAAATCTCATATTGAATTGTAGCTCCCATAATTCCCATGTGTTGTGTGAGGGACCTGGTGGGAGATAATTGAATCATGGGTTGGGTCTTTCACATGCTATTCTCACGATAGTGAATAAGTCTCAGGAGATCTGATGGTTTTAAAAAGGGGAGTTTCTGTGCACAAGCTCTCTTCTCTTGTCTGCTGCCATGTGAGATGTGCCTTTCTTTTCACCTTCTGCCATGATTGTGAGGCTTCCCCAGCCATGTGGAACTCTTAAGTCCGTTAAACCTCTTTGTTTTGTAAATTGCCCAGTCTCAGATATGTCTTTATTAGTGGCATGAAAATAGACTAATACAATTGGTATTTTTTACATATTAATATATATATTACTGGTATATAGAATGTTATTGATTTTTTTTTCTGACCACCTTGTTGAATTCTTCTTAGTTCTATTTTTTCACTTGATTATTTTAGATTATCTAGGTAGACTATCATATCTTTTGCAAATAACATATTTCTCTATTATCAGTCTTTCTACTTCATTTTCTTTTCTTGTCTTGTGATCCTTTTTTATGAAATACAGTATTGTGCATCCCTAGTTACTGTAAAATTATACTCTTCTTGCTTAATTAACATTTACTTTTGGGCAACGAGTCTTCTATTTGTTGAATTTATTGTCTCTGTTCACTGGTCTTGTTGTTCCCCAAATATTTAGGGATTTATTATTATTATTTCATGCTTGTCTTTATAATTGAAACTCCCCGTTATAATTCCATGATACCTGCTCAGTCTGCGTCAGAAGTAGTATAGGAGATCTGACTTTAGCAGATATGCTGTCTGTTCTCAGTAAAAAGAGAAGGGGTGGGTGGTGTTGGGAAGTGTCTTGGCAGCCCATTGTGTGGAGGGGGCTGTTCTCCATTCTTTCTAGCCACTAACAGATTCCTTGGGCCTTGCCCTGTTTTTCCAATCTAAATATTCATTCCAGTTGCTTCTACCTGGAGACAAACACTCCAGTTACTACTGCTGGGCCCTAGGGAACTTTACCAGGTGCGGGTACAGACAGGTTCTACTGTCTGTTTCTGGTACAGTACCCCCAGCTAACCAACCTGCCAGTACTCTTAGGCAAACCCTTGTTCCTGTATCTGGTTCCTGTAGCTTCTATCTCTTGTTGAGTGCTGTCCTGAGGGCATTCGGGCCTGTGATGCATCTTCCTGATCCGTCTGATTTCCATCTTTCAGTTGTTATAGTTTTCGTGGTCCTGAAGGATTCTATTTCTTTTTTCCTCTTCACTGTAGTAACAGATTTATCTATTCTATACTTCTTTTCTCTTAACTTTATGTTTTGGGACAAAAGTGAAAAATAGTTAAACTAATTCTCAGTCTATCAGTTTGAAACCGAAGTCCCATTTTTTCTATCATGTTGTCTGCCTTGTTTTTGATTTGTAAGTGCTTTTCATATATTAAAGACATTAATATTTTGTCATATGTGTTGCAGTGTATCCTTTGCCCCTGAATTTTTTGACATTATGAACTTTTAAAGATAATTTTTATTGTACAGAAGTTTAAATTCATACAAAATTGGAGATAATCGTAACATAATACATCCAATGGCCAATACCATTTCACCGATGCTTCCATCCATTACCACCCCGATTATTTTGAAGTAAATCCCAGACATCATATCATTTCATCTTTAATTACTTCAGTATGTATCTTTAAGTGATACTCTTAAAACACATAACCATTATGCTGTTAGTATACCTCAAACTAACAACAGTGCTTTAATATCATTGAATGAAATGATGAGCTTATGTATTTTTGTAATTTTTCCTATTAGATGAATAAGTTTTTAAGGATGAACCTTAAAACTTCAATAACCATAATAAGCCTATAATCTAATTCTTTACTTACTAGTACATTTAGGTAAGTAGAACATGTATTTTTTATCAATTGTTGCCTAAAATAAACTAAGAAAAGTATCTTGTTACAGTTTAATTCTTTGTCAACACCCTTTTTTATTTCAACGTTTAGATTCTGAATATGATGGAAGAAAATGACAAACTAGAAAATATTGCAAAATTAGACCAACAGGAATTTGGCCTGGATCTTGAGGCACTGGAAAGGCTTCATGATGAAAGTCAGGAAGAAGTGGCAAAGGTATAAAAAAGTATAATTTAAGCACCATAAAGCTATGATGAAAGAAGTAAAAAGATAATAGAAGAGGGAACTCTTTTATAATAATGTGAATATGACAAAACCTTTTCCAGTATAATGTGAATAAAGCAAACGTAGTGCATATGAGTGTAATGAGTCAGAGGACCTTTGAATTTGTGGGTTAGAAGCAGGAAGAACATCTAGGCCAGCCAGACATCTGATGTTTGCTTCCCCTTCATGGCATTCCTGCCAACCATATGTTTGAACATTTTTGGAAGTCTTCTCTGCCACCTCATTGCCTACTTTGGACACTTCTGGCTTAGTAAGCCCTTTCTTAATTAGAGTTGAAATCTTTCTTTTTGTACTCACTGATCCTTCTACTCTGTGAGCACTTCCTACTCTATGGCCCCTCTGAGAGTGGTAGAGGATTAGCAATTTCCTTGTTCCCTGTGGATCTTCTTCTGTCTGGGCTAATTATCCCAGCTCCTTTGACCATCATATATCATGGTTTCAATAGCCTCATCATCATCATGCTGTTTTCCTCTGGATTAATTATATTTGCATATGGTATCCACAGAAAAATTCTAATTATTTTATATCCAGTTTAGAGAAAAGTATAAACTGAAACCTCCATTCATACTATACTTCTATTAATTTAGCCTTTGTATTATTTTGTGACAGACACATCAGATTGTTTGCTTATATGGATTTTATTTTAAATAAAAGCCCTAAGCATGTTTTACACAGGCTATTCTGAAGCTACCTCTTTCTCAACCTGCTAGTACAGTTTAATTTTTTGAATGTGCAAATATAAAAACACAGGAGAATGAAAGAGCTGAATTCAAGGACGGCTGTGGTGGATTATAATAGGTTAAACAACTACACCAAGAAAAGGCTGATTATTTGACTGATGTCTCTAGGAGGGAGGTTTCTACCATGTGCCCCAGGACTTGGTCCTGATAAAAATGTTTATTAATGACTTGGGTGAAGATATAGAAATAAGGAGGATTTGTCAAATTAGTGAATGACATGAGACTGAGAAGATGAAGAAATGTAGTGGATAACATAATTTGAACAAGAGTATCTCAACAGACTGACTTAGTACAATAAAATTTACCTGGGATAATCATTCATTCTGCAACATTTATTAATGTGCCGGGCAGATTAATCTAGATGCTGGGAATACAATAAAGAAGACAGACACATTTCTGCTGTCATGAGACTAATGTAGTGAGGAAGAGTGTCCATAAACAAGTCTCTACATAGTATATGATGGAAACAAACTGGATGCTGTGATAGATGTGGGAGATCTACTTTTGTGGTCAAAGAAAACCACTTCAAGGGGCTGACATTTCAGTTGAGAACTAAAGGAAGAGAGAGAGCTGGCTGTGCAAAGATCTGGGGGAAGAGAATGTCAAGCACTGGGAACAGCAAGAGCAAAGGCCCACAGGCAGAAATGGCTTGAAGTATTCCAGAAACAGCATGGCCAGAAAGGCAGAAGCATGGCGGATAGGAGAGAGCCTCATGGAATGAGGTGGAGGAGATAGGCAGAGGCTAGTCCCTGAAGACCTTGTATGTTGTGGTAAAGACTGGCTTTTTTATTCAATGTGTAACAGGAAGCTATGGAAAAAAATCCCATTTTCTTATCACAGCAAGTAGGCACCAATGTAGGAGCTTTTTGAATGTTATTTATTTTGATGATTACAATCCAAAAAGGCAGGTGATAGTTTGCCCCACTTGAAAAAAACTGAGGTTTTGATAGAGGCTTAGAGAGCTAGAGTCACATGGCTAAGATCAGAGCCAGGAAGATCCTGGCTGCTGCCACCAGGCCACAGGCTCTTCCTCCTTGGCTCTGACTTGGCTCAGGCTCAGAATGCACCCTGGTATTCTGCATCATGTTCTCCCAGCCCACTCATCTTGACCACTCAGCAATGCATGTGGATTTGGTGCCTGCCCCCTTCCTCACCGTTGTTTCTCTCTCCTAGCTGTATACAACTACTTGACACTGAACCTGCTCCCCTGGCCCACTGAGCTATTTACCATTGCCAAACCCATCCTATTCGCTCTACCACCACCCTGTGCCTCTGCCCCAAATGCCCCTCCTTGCCATTTACCAAATTCATCCTCATCCCTCAAGAGTTCTCCTTGATCTTCTGAGGCAGGATTTGGTGCAGGGAAAGGCCCTCTACATGCTAGTTTCCCTCATATTGTTTATTTTTTTTTCTTGAGCTCTGTGCCTTTGAAGAGATGTTAACACCAGATTGGGTACAATAGTGGTCCAGTAGAGAACAATGTTAGCAGATGACACCATAAACTCAGCTGTTTAGGAGATTTCAGCATGTTTAGGAGCAGAATACTAGTCCTTGGGAGGAGTTAGTGGCACCTGCCAGTCAGGGATGTGAATGAGAGACTAGGCTACTACCCTGCCCTGGCCAGGATCTCAACAATAGGAAAAAAACCAAAGCCCAATCATGACAACTCGGACACAGTACTAGGGATTGAGTTTGGAAGAGTTGATCGAACAGCCTCAGCAGTGGACAGAGAAGGGCTGAGTAGGCTTGGAATCAGGCAGGTTCTGACAACTGATACGCCAAGCCAGCTATCTATTTAGGAAGAAATAATTTAAAACTGTTTTAGCTATTAACTCGCTGGATCAGAATAAAAAAGAAATGAATTGCAAATTAAAGTCATTTAATTAGACAATAAATAAACAGAAATTCACAAGAAGTACTAAAAAAGACATTTTAAACCTGGGAGACTTTATTCTTAGCTAGCTTGCTAATAATTCTGCCAACAAAATGAAGTGCACAAAGGTCCTGAAGAGGATCCTAAGGACTAAAGATTGTTAGGTCTCACTTTCACACCAGGCCTTTCAGCAAACCCTATTAAAATAGGAATACTTAATTATTTAAGTAATAAGCAATGGGATTACTTAAGCAAGTAAAACTAACTGAAGTAACATATGTTTTAGGTGCAAAAAAATGCAAATTGTATGATCTCCAAGAGTAGTAGAGGGTTCTTTTTATTGTGGACATAAATAATAGAAGAATTAAGTACAGTAAAGACTCCCAGACAGAGGTCACAAACTGGCAATTCAAATGTGTGTTGGTGAGATTTAAGCCAACATTTAGATATCCAGCAGTTTCACATAAAAATATGAATTCCAATCCTCTCTAATAAAACAGGAAGACTTCACTCAGTGGTTTTGCTTCCCTGCTGTTCCAACCAGCGGAGTTTGTACACATTAGCCATGCAGCTCACCACCACAGTGCATCCATCCTCACACCCGACTTCACTCATGTGTGGGACCTGACCAACCTTAGAGGTACTGTATGTCCTCAAGGAAGGAAATTAAGCCTACAGACAAACTTCAGGAGACATTCTCAAAAGCAGAGATGTGTTTCCCAGAAGTACATCTCAGTGCAGGGTGGCTCAAAGTGTTGGAGAAAGACAACCAAACTCTACCACTGAAGGTGCAGCTTATGAATACTTAGTGAACTTAGAGGAAAGATTATTGTTTCTGAGGCCACACTTTCATTTTTATCTTTTCCCTTTATCTGCGTTCTTCAAGATGAAAAAGGATGTAGAGATGCATAACCTAGCCAAGAGCTATTTGGCTGAACTTATCAAAGAAGAGTGTTGGAATTCAATGGCTGTAAAAGGTCGAGCTCTTAAGGTAACAGAACCCTAGGTACAAAACCTGATGAGATTTGTCATAGAAAGCTCAGGAAAGTTTTACAAATAAATTTAAGAAAATTCATAGCTTAGCAAAGCACTGAGAACATGGCTTGCCCCTTCCTATACTGAATTTCACCTGGATGTGTCCCGGTCTCTTGGTTTCTTCGCTCTATGCTCAGTCCCCATGTGCTTCCCAGCCAGCATTTCTGAAGATCTGTCTTAGCATTTCTTTCCTCCTTTCCTCTCAGACATCCCCGGCATCTGGGCCTTACTAGCTGTCTGCTCACTCACATTTCATACATATTGAAAGGTAGACAAAATCTGGTTCATGTTTCTATCTGTGCCTGCCTTCCTATTTTCTAAGGAGCTGTTTTTCGCTGAGATTCTCCCCAATACAATTTCTCTCTTTGTACAGGATGACCAAAAGTCTCAGGTAATGTCTGTGATCCCAGAATAACTATTCTCAGCACCCTTTTCACTTTCAAATATGCTCCCAGTACAGACAATGAAGTATACAGCCACCCTACATTTTATGTAATTGAGTATTGCTCTAAAACAGCGTTCTCATGAGTCATATATTTTGGGCTGGATCATTCCTTGTTGTGGGAGCTGTTCTATGCACTGTAAGAAGTTTAGCAACATTCCTAGCCTCTATCTGGAGACAATAGCATTGTTCACCTCCAGTAATGACAATAAAAAAATGTTGCTGGACATCGCCAAATGTCTTGGGGAAAAATGACAGAGAGGGAAGGAAGGGGAAAAAATGCTCCTAGTTGAGAACTACTGACCTAGAAATTAATCCTTCACAAAAGCCCAGTATTTTATATAAAGCTTATACCAATACTTATGGAATACATTGTTTTATTTTTTTTTAATGTTTCCATTGCCAATTTTACTCATGCATGATAACCTATGGGTTAATGTTAATCACAGAAAACATCCCTTGCTCAACACCAGATACACACAGTTATACTACAAATGGATTTATTTCATCTTGTGTTTTTTTTCTCCAAGTGTTTTCATATCCCCTGTGTGGTTGAAAACTTCCCAATGAAAGCACGCACAGCTGAAGAGCTGAAAGAATTGGAAAGAGTTTTACAGCAAAAGAAGATTGAAGCAGAGTGTCTAAAAGTACAATTTTAAATATATATGTATTTATATAAGTGATGTGCTTTATTTTAGAGTCTCCTTTGTTCAGATTTGAGTTGGGATATAATTTAAGTTTAGATATTGTATGTATTTATATTTTTATTTCTTGTTAATTATAGAATATATTCTAATGAATATAGAAGCCTATATCCCCAAAATAAATCAAAGAGCCTGTATCCTACACAATACTGGCTAGCCCTCAAATATAAGGATATACCTTTAAAAAATTAGATTTGGGGTTTTGCTCTTATCCGCACAGAGGTTGTCTTCATGCACAATTATCCATTTTATCCTCTCTTGTCACTAGGGATTGTGTTTCAAGATAATTGATCAAGAATGAAGTAGAATTTGTTTTGACAGAATTATGGTTTTCCTAAATCCCAACTTTTTAAGCAATAATCTCTGCCAAACCACTAAAAAAACACTGCCCTTCAGTGTAGTTTTGTTTTGGCTAGAACTTTGCACTGACTCTTTTTCTGAAACAAAATGGAGGTATGCTTAATTCTTCTTAACCTTCACCCACCAGTCCTTTGTGAACAAGTTTCTTTGTAAAATATAAAGAGAAGATATATTTCTTAAGTACCAAGAAAGACTCAAAATAGTTACAAGCAGGTGTCATACTGACAGAAAGATATAAATATTACACATCATCAAGGACAATTTTTATTCCTTTGATTTATCCGTCGTTTATCAGTTTCTGAAGCTTTAATCTCTTCTGCAGCAGTTCTGGGATCTATTCATCACTTTGAATTCAGTTCTTGGCAAGACAATTTAGCAAATTAAAATGATTGTTGACATAATTAAGTTGTCACAAAATTTCCCTTTAGAGGATTCTTATTATTGCATAACTTCTGTGTCATCTTTTTTTACATTTAGCTACGGAAGGAAATTGTAGAGGCTCAGTCTGGAGTTACATTGGTTAAAAAGCATCATGAAGAGGATGATGAAGAAGAGGAAGAGGAAGACAAGAAAGCAGAATATAGCAACTTGCCCAATTACCTGCTTGGTAGTCTGAGTACTGATTTTGGGGTAGACACCTCTTTTTTGTCAAGCCAATTAGAACTTCATTCCAGAGAAGAGAAAATCAACCAAATTATATTACTGAAAGTGAGTGAATTTTCATTTTATTCTCAAAAATCTCTAGAAACTCTACATCAGGTGGTTTTCAAGGGCTCACATTGAAAACTAATGCCAATCAAATGATTTAAAAATACATAGAGGAGGGGGGCATGGTGGTTCATGCATGTAATCCCAATACTTTGGGAGGCCAAGGCAGGCAGATCATGAAGTCAAGAGACCAAGACCATCCAGCTAACATGATGAAACCCCATCTCTACTAAAAATACAAAACTTAGCTGGGCGTGGCAGGGCGTGACAGCGCGTGCCTGTAGTCGTAAGTACTCGGAGGCTGAGCCAGGAAAATCTCTTGAACCAGGGAGTTGGAGATGGTGCCAAAGCACTCCAGCCTGGCAACAGAGTGAGACTCCATCTCAATAAATAAATAAATAAATAAATAAGAATAAAATAAATAGAGGAATATACAGATACTTTCCAAGTCCCTTAGCCAGATCTTGTGTACAAGAGTTGCATTTAATGATTTGGACTAGGTTACTGTGATACCAACTTTTCTAAAGAACATCCCACAACAGCTGACACCACAAACCATTCTTCTGCTTTGATCTTCAGTAAGCTGAAAGAGAAAAGAAAATACTTGAATTCCATTTTCTCAGTAAACCCAAATGTCAATTAGGATCTCCTTGTAAGATCAAGATGTGATTACTTATCTATCTGCTTAACCTGGGGAAAGACAATTTCCTCTAAGATTTCTGTAAATTTGGGGGTTCAAGGATAAGATATGGGGTCCCTCTGGCTCTAAGCTCTTACTCCTTAACTTTCTACCAGTCTCAGAATACTTCTGAACATGTAGAAGCCCTGACTGAAGGTCTTTGAAAATCCAATGACTGAGGTTGTGCCAATGAAGATAGTTTGAAATTTAATGCTGGCAATCCCTGTTCCTGAAAGCCCTTCAGCCATGCCTGCAATTTGAATTCCAGTCTCCTGCCATGTGCTCAGCTCTCTCTTCTTATCCTTTTCTTTTTCTCCTCTTGCCCCTGAAATTTCTGTTCATTTATGCTCAGAGCTATTTAGTTACCTCATTTGTTGCTCAGCTTCTGCCTTGAGGGCCTCACCTTCTTGGTGCTTTATTAAGGTGTTTTCCTACAAGAAGGTAATTTCAGCCCAGGAGAAATTCTCATACTAGCTGTTAAGATCATTTTTTCACCCTGCTTTAATGGTTTCATCTTCAGTAGGCTAGACATACAGACTAAACTCCCATGGCAACCTAAAGGCCACTTTGGGTTGACCCATCAGCAGGAGTGGGAGCAATCTAGTTGGTCCCACTGGCACCTTAGGAATTGGTCTCACCAACTGGCTAGCACACGTTTCTTTCCTACTTGAGAATGACATGTCCGTATAGAGGAAGAGTATTGTGTGTGGTGATGATTCTCTGGCAGGTTCTGTAAATACTTTCCATAAGCCATCTATTCTTTTCCACATCTACTCCAATCCAGGTTCCAAAGAAAAGACGTGTGCCAACTTAAATCCTGTATGTTGCTTTTTCGATATTTTATAGTAGATTTTGTACAAAAGTAGAGAGAATAGCCCAATGAGCTTCTAAGTACCCATCACCCACTTCAGCATTTGTTAACCTGCACATGGAATTACAATTTATATTTCAGGAAGTAGATTATGGTCTAACAATTATGTGTTCGTCTTAATGCTACCCATACTTGGATGCCACTGTGGATTATTGAGCCAAGGAATTAATATAAGTAGTGTTCTGAAAGATTCATTTTACATTCTTAAAAGACAATTCGTGGAATGATTTTGGAGGGAAAGTATAATTGCGGGATCAGTGAAGATATAATATGTGATGTGTTTTCAGTAACATGTTAATATTTCAGGATATCATTTACAAGGTAAAAACTGCTTTCAATAATGAGTTTGATGCTGCATATAAACAAAAAGAGTTTGAAATTGCACGCGTGAAGGAAAGAAATGTTCGAATTCGAGAAATTATTTTAGATCTGGAATTGGAAGAAGCAGTCTGGCAACCAGAGTTTGAAGACTGTGAGAAGCCAGAGAGAACGCTTGTTGTGCAAGATGAGGAGGTACTGGCTAGCTGTGTTCTCCTTTCCCTTCTTTGTCAGGAGATTTTTCCCAGATCCTATTTGTTCACTTTGCCTCTATGGGAAATGATTGTATTGGGTAGCATTCTCAGTTGCAGATAACAGAAACAGGCGATATAGCCTCAGCAATAATGAGAATTTATTTTACGAATCCCATGGAGTCCAGGGAAGATTTGGACACTGAGCCCAGGAAGAAGCAGAAACCAAAGACTAGAGCCTTGTGGGAGGTCCAGAAGCCCTCTTTCTTCATTTTTTAGTTCACATTACTCTGCATTTCTACTTCCTCTAGCAATTTCTACTTTGTCTCTTCTCCACACAAGAAAGCAGCTGGTCTGAATTAGAATCTTAGTCCCAATTCCCAGTTCATTTGGGAAGAGGCTCCGTGGCCCAGTTTGGGTCCAGTGCCTATACTCAGAGTGGTTGGGTCACATTGCAGGAATGAGGCCAGTGGAGCTCCAGTAATGATCTAGGTCATTTGGGCAGTGTGGATCCCAGAGAAAGGGGCTCTCTAAACAGCCTTCTTTAAAGGTTTTGGCATAGATCCAGTTGAAAATAAATGCCTAAAGAAAACAATTATGACAATATTTTATTTTTTAAAAGTAAAAAAAAAAAAATGCTAGCGAATACCCAAAGAAAAACCTTTTCTCACATAAAACCAACTTGACTCCTGGGGGCAAAAGATAATTGTGGTGTTTAGAAGTAATAGCAAATATTTTTACAGTCTCTGCTGGATGCTGGCTGGGCACCATTCTAGATGCCCTAGGTGGATGGAAACGAATTTATCATTGTAAGTCCTTATAAGGTAGGTACTGATACTGCTTCCATTTTATAGATGAGGAGAGTGAGACACAGAGAGTTTGAGTAGTTTGACCACAGTTATATCATTGTTGGGAGTTTGGACCCAAACCATCATACTAGAGTTCATCCTCTTAGCCTGGACACTCTGCTGTACTTGTTTAAGCAAGTCGTTTTTCCTGAACCAGACTTTCACTATGTGACCTAAAACTCTGAAGCAAGATGACAGCAAGGACCTCATTCTGCTGCTCTCTATAGGGCCCTGCTTGGGGCAGTCACTTTGTACCTGCTTCTCCTTGGGCTCTAATCCATCCTACATTTAGGAGAGTGATCTCGCCACAAGCCAAACTTACTATGTCCCTCTTCCGTCTCACCCCTTGCAGTGGTTGCTCACTTCATTTAGGATAAAGCCCACAAGCCTCCTCCTAAGTGCCCACCCCTACCCCCTTTCTTGCCCAACTACTCTCCCATCTGCCTCCATTCTGGTCACAATTTTATTCTCACAGTCCCTTGAATGCTCCAAGCTCTTGACCTCTTTGGACCCCTATCCTTCAGAATTTGGCTTAGATGGCCCTTCTTTGAGCCCTCTTCCCTCCCCTCCTTAATCTATCAGGTCCCCTGTTATAATCTTTTTAGTGGTGGACACATGCTTTAAGAGTTAATATAGAAGTAAAGATCTATTTTTCCAGCCCTCTCATTTTAGACCTCATCTTCATTCCAAAATAGAAAATTGGGTGCAAAGTCTGCAGAACGCCTTTAATCCCCTTAGTATCTTCTAGCCTCCAGTACGTGGAAGGAAAGTTGAGTTTGAATTTTGTAAGAATAATAGCGGGAAATTACATTTTCTCTTTCAGATTACAGCCAACAAATATGTTAAGCCGTGGCACAAAGCCAAAGCAGAATTGCTCACGAGTCGTGAAACGGAGCACTGGCTTCTGATACAGGCATGCAGCTTCACTTACACAGGACCTAAGACCCTCTTTGTTTTAGGGATACTGTTTTCTAGTTTGGTTTAATAGTCTTTTACCTGTATGCTATCATGGAAACCCATCAACCTATTTGTCATGGTCAGAGGTCACTTGAATCTCAATTGACCTCCTTCCCTTCTCTCCTCCAGGCACTGTCTACCTTCCCCAATCCCAAATGCAGTCATTCTAATGTTGTGGGGGGGAAGCTGCCTCTGGAGCCACCCAAAGTGTCAGGTCTCTGTCTCAGCATTCCTCTTTGATTCTGGCTCCTTCCCAGGGCACCAGCACAAGACTCCGAGCTCTGATGGACATGATGGGAGGAGTTCTGGAAGTCAAGAAGGAAGACATTTTGAGAATGGTGATATTTCTGTTCATCCTTGTGGATGGTGGAATGGGGTGGAAAGAGCTACGTAAATTTTACCATTTTTGTTCTAGATAAACCTTGGTTTTAGAAGTTCTACAGCAACAAATATTCTACAACTTCCAAAGTACCTCATAAACATATCACACTAGGGCCTGGCATGGTGGCTTATGCCTGTAATCCCAGCACTTGAGGAAGCTACGTGAGGAGGCCAGAAGTTCAAGGCAGGAGGCCAGGAGTCCAAGGCTACAGTGAGCTGTGATCATACCACTGCACTCCAGCCTGGGAGACAGACCCTATCTCAGAAAACCAAAACTGTACCACATTAGGCAGATAATAAATTTCAAACTGCAGGTTTGCCTTCCAATCTGACAAGACACAAACAAATCAACAAAAATAAGTAACTATAGTGGTTTTGGTCTCTACTGAAGGCAGGAATACTGTTTCATCAGTAATACTTCAGATACACCAGGAAACTTTTTTTTTTTAATACCTAACATAGGTGTTCCTAGATCTCAGGGGTAGTTATAGCTATAAAAATACCAAAACACCCCTCTGAGTACATCACCTAAGTGTCTAGGTATATCCCACCCTGCTCACCTTCACCTAAGTCACAGAAGAACTGTTGTAACATTTTAAAATATCTTTTACCCAAGATGTCGGGTCATTGTCCTTGCCAATGTGAAGGACTGTATCCTTTTAAAGGGCTTTTTAAAAAAACTCTGAGCTTTTACTGTACTACTGCATTTATGTTTGAGCTGAAATATGTGCTTTTCTTCATATCTTCAGGTGATTCCTCAACCTGCTTTCATGGCAAAACCTGATGCTGTATGGACTGAAGAAGAAAGAAAACAATTCAAAGATTATGAGAAAAAAGTAAAGGAGTTAAATGAAGAAAGAGATAAGTATAGAAAGGTCAGAAGAGCAAAGAATTAATATAACCTACCATATCCAGAGTGCTATTTAAATATCTTTTCAAATGTTTTCTATTTTCTCAATATCTTTAATAGCTTAAGGATAGTGTTTTAGCTTAAGTTCTCAAGAATATTTAGGGAAGTAGGGGGAGATATATTTAAGGAGTTAAAATAATTTTAAAGCAAAGAAACCTGTCCACATTTTTATATAGCAATAGAGTTTTTTTTTAAGCTTTTATTGATTTCAACATTTCCCATGTCATTACAATTTATTTCTTCATTCTACAGGTGTTCAATGAACACCTATTACATGTTCAAGTCACTACAAGGTATTGCTCTGTGTTGTGTACATTTATTTCAATTCAGTAATACTTTTGCTTGATTTGTTCACCATTTCAAAAAAAGGGTTTGAAGAATGAATGGCACAATCAATGCAGTATCTTATTTACAACTCTAATTCGAAGTTTTTACAGTGCAGTTCTTCTACTTTTATCCCCGTCCATCAGAAGGAAATACTGTAACATTAAAATTACTTATAATTACAGTAGAGATATAAAAGATGATCGTGTGCAGCCAAGTAGATAATATTTATTCTTCTGTGAAGGAAGTAAAGTCATACCATCATTCAAGGTAGGACAGCTTGCCAGCTTGCTAGTGGCTGTATCTCATGAAGAGCTTCTTTGAATCTGTTGTGAACCTGTCCACATTTTTATTCACTGCATCCCTCCAGGGTCCCTTGTATTTTAACCTAAAATGGTACTTACCTAAAGCCAAAATCAGTAATGCTGAAAGAAGTAAAGATTTTAAAGGGTTAGGGAGTATAGCTGCCTAAGGAATAAAGGCTGGTGACCTATCAACTACATTTACTCCACAGTTTTGTGTTGTTAGATAGTCCACAGCCTGCACCATCACTTCCTGCACCTTCTTCATACTCACCGCTGAAACCCCAGCCTTGATTAAATGGTACTCTGCCTTCTCTGCACCTGCATCCATGAAGTGGCTAAAGAAAAACTATTGACTGGGTTTAAACAATGCCTTAATCTCAGCTGGGTCCTTAGAGCTGCTCCACAGTGCTACTCCATTTTTCCCCTAACGAAGCACTCTCACACTTGAATGTGAGTCTGTGTCACCTGGGGGATTTGTTAAAAATGCAGATTCAAATTTCATTGTTGTTCTGGGAAAATGGAAAGATGCTGAGATTTTGCATTCCAAACAAGCTATTTCTGGCCAGTGGGACCCTACTTTAAGTAGTAGGATCCTAGAATACCATTTTACGCCCATTGCTCATCTCTCAAACTTTCAGCACCTGTTGCCCTCAACTAATTCTCACCTTATTTTCTATTTCACTAAGAGAAGAGAAACAACTAAAAGTGATTTCCCTTACTCCTCTACTGCCACATCCACCCCCGACCTGCACGGAATCCATGGCAGCTGGCTTTCTGCTTCCTATGGATGAAATGGCCTTGCATCCACCTAAGCCTGGTCCTCCCCTGGTACACTAGCCACCATCCCATCTCACCTACTCAGTGTCATTACTCATCAGTTTACCCTCTTCTTTCCTGCATCGTCAATTTTTCCCTCCCTGTGGATTTTTCCCATTGGCATAGACACATGCTATAATTGTATATGTCTCTCATCTTATTAAAAAAAATACTTCCTGGAAGGAAATGCTAGGGTTCTCTCTGCTGTTCTTGTGACATTTGGGTCAGTTGGAATTTATTTCAAAACAAAGAGTTAAAGGAAAAAAAACAACTCCTTTGACTTCTCTTTCCCCTGGATCTACTCAATGTCTCTGGTCTCCTTTACAGCAAAACTCAAAAAAATCTGTGTTAATGGTTTTCAGTTTCTCTCTCTCTCAAAAAAATCTTGTATTGTGGAAAATGTCAATCATGTATAAAAGTAGAGAGAGCAGTATAATGACCCCTTTGTCCAGATAATTCTATAATTATCTACTCGTGGCCAGTCTTATTTCCTTTTATACCCCCACTTACTTCCCTAGCATTGGATTATTTTTCACCGATTTTTATTTTAGAATGATTCAAATGTACAGAAATGTTGCATAAATAGTACCATCTATATACCACACATTTATACCATTAGCATATATATTATGTTATATATATACCTGTGCACATCAGTTCTTTATATTGCCACATTTGTTCTCTTTATCTCCTGAATAGACAAATCACAAATATCATGATACTCCTATATAATACAGCATAAACCTTCTAAGAACAAAAATATTCTTCTACATAACCACAGTAAAATTATCATACAAAAGAAGCTTAATATTAATGTGATTATCTAATTAAGTCCATATTCAGATTACCCAGTTATCCAAGTAATGTCCTTCATAGCTTCTTTGTTGCTGTTTATCCAAAAATCTAATCAATTGCACTTAGTTTTTAATGTTCTTTTAGTCTCCTTTAATGCAGAACAGTTCCATGGCTTTGTGTTGGTGTTCCATGACGTTGACATTTTTTAAAAATTGAGGCCAATTTTTTTGTGGAATGTCTCCCAAGTTGAATTTGATTGTTTACTCATGATTAGATTTAGGTGCAAATTTTTGACAATCATACTAAGTAGATGATGCTGTGTCTTTGGTGCATCATATCAGGAGGCTCTTGATTTCAGTCAGTCCCACTATTGGTAACATTAAGTATGATCACAGGTAAGGAGGGTTTCTCTAAATTTTTTTATTATAAGTTCTCTTTCTCATTTGTGTGGTGACATTTTGAGTCTGACTCTCTGTTCATTCTGTCTTTTGGCATCTATTGATGATCCTTGCTTGAATCAATTATTACCATAGTGATTGCAAAATGGTGCCTTTCTAGTTTTTATCATTTACTCCATATTTATTCGTTAGTATTCTTCTGAAAAGAGGAGGTTTCCTCTGCCCTACCGAGGCATACTCTAACTTAATGTGTTTTAATCCATGACTGTCATTATTATTTCTGTTGTTCTAATTGTTTGGAGCTTCTTCAAGTTATTATCTGTGTCCTTTTTACCTGTCCACATCAGTTTTTGAGCACTTTCTCCATTTCTAACACAATAAGATCTTCTAGGTACCTAGAATCAGCTAAATTTTTTTAAAAGAATCCTGGATTCCTTTTACTGGGAGTTGGTATTTAGAGACCAAGATCTGGACACTAAATGTGCTCTTTGCTGTAGGGGTTGGGAGTCATTCTCTGTCTCCCTCCCTCTCTCTCTCTTACACACACACACACACATACATACATGCATACATACATACACACACACATACATACATACAGTTAGCTCCAATTCCAACCCAATTCCAGTTCAACAGCACAGGGTTCTTTTCTCTTTCATTCATTTAATATTTAGACTCCTTTTTCAGTGAAAACTCTAGTTCCCAAAATATAAATATACTTACTGATTTGCTCAGTCTTACAATGTGTATAAAATACCTCTATCAAAAATGCTTCCCCATTTACCCCCTATGTTTTTTTCATCTAACTGTCTCTGCCTCTTCCCAGAGATTCCAGCTGGCTAGAGGCTGAGCCCTTTGGTAACAACATTTTAGGGAACATGAGCACAATGCATAATGTTCTTAAAAGCACGTTGTGATGTGTACATTTTTTAATTACCTTTGGTGTTGTTTTATAGCAACCGTTCGTAAAACATTCCAAATACTTCTACATCTCTGCAATCTAATCCCTTTGTCACTTTTGGAAGGTGACTTTTCAGCTTAATGCGCATTGCCCTCTCCATAGAGGAAGGAAAAGTGTATGGGCCTGCCTTACTGAGAACTAAACAGAGCCCAGGGAAAGACTCCCCTGTGGGCAACCACGTTGTTCTCTGCAAAGTATCAGCCAAAACAGAAAGGTGATTCCAGGAGGTGTTAACCAAACAAGAACAACGACAAAAATGTGCAGCTAAGGTTTTCAGCTTTAAGGTATCTTTGGACAATGCTACTTTTACTTGTTTTTTTTCATTAGAAGTGACCAAAATTAAGATGACCTCTGAGGCCAAATTTTTGTCCCATCCCTCTCCCCTTCCCAACTGCATGTGCTCCTTATGTTGAGAGGACCACTTACTGGCTCTCCTGCCTCCTTGAAATAAAGAAATAAGATTACGTTTTTGCCACCAATTTAGCCATATAAACGCCATCTCCTTGCCCTTTTCTGGGTTTGGAGCTGCTGTCACTAAAAGTGCCATCTCATTGTCCTTTGTTTCAGGGTGCTGGAGAAATTTTGAACAGGTTATGTACAAAACCTTTTACATTTTATATTATTTTAGAACTTTGCTTCTTTGGGTTTGTGGCATCCGGCCACCCTGTCTGGCTGTGAGAGCTCTCTAAAGTCTGTGGGCTGGCAGTTTGCTGATCATTTAAAGATTCTTTCCCTACCCACTCCCCACTTTTTGGTAAGGTTTTTGTGTAAGGTCTGTTAGGTTTACATCCTGAAGCTTATTGGCTTAAAATGTACTCTCCTTTGATGTAGTCTGTTTGGGGCTGACTGGGAGAAAGAGAAACCAATAGTGCAGCCATTTTGATACTGAATATTGACAGGTATATTTTTGGAAATAAAGAACCAGTCCCTCCAAAGAAACAAACAAATACTGTGGCAATTTTCAGATTTCCTTGTACTTTTTTTATTCTTAGACTATAGCCCACTAAGAGGACACCAACATATTATGTTGAGAATTACTTTGACTAATTCTTTTTTCCACTTTCTGGGTGGATAACATTCATTACCAGTTTGATATACAGTTGACTTCTTTAAGCAACGGTGTTCTTATTTGAAGGGGAAGAGGCTGGTGTGTCTCTGATTTTATTATTTTTTCTTTTGTTTCTGCATGACCCCTAATTTCTACCTCTTCCTTCTTTCCCTTTTCTCCCAAGTCTCCACAGGCCACCTCCCTCTTTCAAGTTGCCGTTTTTCTCCCCTGCACCTCTGCCTTTTAAGTCCCTTCTTTTTTATTTCAAAGTAGCTGCTTTTCTGACACCTCTACAGCTACCACCCTAATGCAAACTACTGTCAGCTTTCCCAGGATTTATTGCCTTAGTTCCTCTGCCCCCTGCTCCCTACCCCCTTCCCTAATCCCTGTATCCCATCTCACTTCATCTCCTATCATTCTTTCCCTCAATAACTGTTCCAGTTCCACTGATTTCCTTATTGTTCCTCAGATACCCAGCAAACTCTTTACTCAAACACCCACAGCTCACATTCTCACTGCAGGTCCTTGGGACACTGTATCCTTGGCCTGGAGCTCTCTTCCATTTAGCTACATGATTCTCATTCTCATCACTTTGGGATCTCTACTCAATTGTCACCTCTTCCCTGTTATGGTGGAGATCCCTGCTTCTCCTCAATCCTGCTGTATGTCCCTTTTTCCCTGCTTTATGGTTCTCCGTAATACTTATCACCACCTGGCTGACTTCATTTTTACCTGTTTATTTATTGTCAATCCTCTCTACTAAAATACAATATGAGGGAGGAGGACTGGTTTTTTTTAATATTATATTCTTAGTTTTTAGAACTATAGTCAATCAATAATAAGCACTTAAGGAAGATTTCTTGAATGAATAAATGAATTTATTGATACCTGTTATGTGCCAGGCACTCTTCTTTCTGAGTACTGGGGATTCATATATTAAAGGATACAGCCTTTGCCTTCACCAGCCTGGTCAGCTAAAACAATACCTTCTTAAATGGCAGGCCATTTCTTTTGTCCTTGTTTCAGAGCTGGGAGAAATTCTGGGTGTGATGGATTTCTGCATGATTCATACAAACCTCCTACTTGGTTTTTCACTTTGCATGTCCCCCACTTCTCATTTCTCAGTATCTGATACAGACATTTTTAGGCAAAATTAGATTTTTCTAGGAATGTTTGAAGAAAAATGACATTCATGTCTTTAACAAATATATTCCTTGAGTGCCCACTATGTGCTTGGCACAATGGCAGGTCCTGAGGGATGTGCATGAACAAGGCAGACCTGGCCTCTCCTCCCCGACTCTCTTCACTATAACCATTATGTGGAGTGGAGATGGTTATATAGTAACTGTGCATTCACAAGATAATTATTTAATGGGAATGTGGTAAATTAGAAGGGTAAGTTCAGAGTGCCATCTATGAAAGTGAACGTAGAGGCACTGACTTAGATCAGCCACCGGTACCCACCAGGTCCCCTTTGCAGGCTGCTGTGCCCATCCCTCACTGCTATGAGTGCTCCTGATAGAGGCTTACACCTGAGATCTTCTCTAGAATGTTGCCCTTGGATGATCGAGGGAGCCTCCTTGTCCAGAGACATCCCCAAGTTTACACCACTGCTCCCACCCAGGGCAGCCAATGATGGGCTGATAGAGCCCGAGGGGAAGGGGGCACAAAAGCTCAGCCTTCTCACCCCAAGGTGAGATAACTCAGCAGGACCCCTCTCATTTCTCCCAACCCTGGGAATCAGGCCAAGACTGAGCCACCTGATATGGCATCATTGCTCAGCTCTTGCCCTTTGCCTGCCCTGCTCCCCTCATCCCCTTACAGGTGTCTCCTAAAGAGTGCTCCCTCCAGAAATCATGTGCATTGGAATCTTGTTTCAAGCCTTGCTTCTAAGTCTTAAGACAGGGTCCAAGGAAGTCTTTCTTGAGAACATGGCATTTATGCTTGCATTGGAAAAGTGAGAAAGACTAAAGAGGTTGAAGAGTAGGAAATGAAGCATAGGCAGACAGAAGAGCATGTGAGAAGGACCTGTAATGAGAATAATTTGGGGTATGTGAAGAAGAAATGGCAAAGGGCCATTTTACATTACAAAAAGATTCTTTCAGGACCAGAGACCCTCAAAAGACCCAGAATCTCAGTGTTTTTAAAAAAGGGTACATCTAAGAGACGTAGACAATCTGGCCTCAGCAAGCTGAGTCTGTGGCCATTTACCATATGCTCATGTTTTCATTATCTAGCAATAGGTGAACCTGTTCACCAGGAGGACATAGTCCATGGGGCTTTTCCATGGCTATGAGATAGTGATATAAATTATTACAAGCAAATGACCCTGAGATGTGTTTTTTCATATTTGTTTGTTTTATTTTCATATCTCCTCACTGTTGTTAACTTTATTTGGATGGTCTTTCTCCTGGCATCATATGTCTCTATTATTTTTGCTAAACCTCTTTCTTCATGATCCTCCCAGAATCAGTCTCTTTTCTTATTAATCTGGCATAGAGAGAACTTGGCTTTTTAAACTCTTTAAACTGTTGTATATTTAAACTATTTACTACCGTCATAGTAATTATTAATTTGAATAAGAATTATCAATGGATGCTAAAGCTGGTAAATAAAAGTGTGATGAGAAACAAGATATTTACCTAGTCTCAAATTATCTTTCCACAAATTCATAAAGCACAGATGGAAAAACGAACTTTACAATAGAGAAAGTGGCAGACAGCATTTAACCAAGTGACCCAAGTTAACATCTCCGATGATGAAGCAAACCAACATCATGTATCTCCTGATGGGGTAGACAGAGAAGGACATAACATGACTTATGTAGTGTTCCTGCTAAAAATGTGTAACCTGGCTGTACAATTGAGAAAACATCAGATAAACCTAAACTGAATGACATTCTACAAAATAAGTGGCCTGTCTTCAAGTGTCTGCAAATTATTCTCAAACGGTTCAGAAAAGTGTAGGAAGAAAAGTAGAGAGGTGGGGCGATTGACAGATAAAGTGATAAAGCAAATAGGGTAGAATGTCTACAATTGGTGACTTTGAAAAAGGTATATAGGAATTCTTTGTACTGTTCTTGCAACTTTTCTGTAAGTTTGAAGCTACATCAAAATAAAAAGTTACAAACAAATTTAAAAATAAAAATGATTTATAACAATATACCTCATATTTTTACACGTTTTACTTTCTATATTTTTAATTTTTATGGGTACGAAGTAAGTGTATATATTTGTGGGCTATATGAGATGTTTTAATACAGGCATACAATGTGAAATAATCACAACATGGAGAATGGGATATCCATCTGCACAAGCATTTATCCTTTGGGTGACAAACAATCCAGTTACAGTCCTTTAGGTATTTTTTTAATGTACAGTAAGTGATTGTTGACCATAGTCACCCTGCTGTGCAATCAAAATTATACCTCATATTTTGATGTTGTTCTCTTTAAAAATATAAATTTATAGCTTTTCACTTATGTGCAGGTATAATTTTTTAAAAAGAAAGAACAAGGGAACTTTTTCCTTTTGATGTAGAACTGTTTGGAGAGGCAAAACATACAGAAAACATGAGAGTACAAATATATAAATACATATAAATATACATTCCCTTCTTATTTCCTTAAAATAGAAATAATTCCATGAAAAGGACCAGTGCTTGAAAAAAATAAAAATTTTTTAGGGCTAAATCATGTGTCTGGAAATTGCTGTCCTATATAAAGAGTAAGGATTTTCTGGAAAGATTTGCTGCAATTTGCTTTCTTAGGCCTACTTCTGCCTGTATCATTAGCCATGATCAGTAATTTTAAGCTTTTTTTCCCAATGTAATCTTTTCTAAGCAAAAATCAAAAATCTCAACACACAGTGTATTAAACAAATCTAAGTAGAGCATCTCTAATTGAAGAGGGTACGGGGCTCAGAACACCTTGCAAGAGCTGCCCTCCACCTGCCCCTCCCTTTTGGTGAAATGTAACCACTTACTAGGAGTCTTTAATATTCCTAAATGTTAACTTTACTATTGACTTCCTTTTAGTCATTAGAAGCAGAATTGAAGAAACTTCAAAACTCTATTCAGGAAAGCACACAGGCCTTTGATGAACATTTGAAAAGACTTTTTGAAAGGAGAGTGAAGGCAGAGATGGTTACCAACCAGGTAAATAAAAGCTTTACTTATGTGACTTTTAAGGAGATTGCAGAGCCCTTCCATAGTTCTTAGGATAAAGATTAACATCCTTACCAGGTGTTGAGATCCTGTGTGTTCTGGGCTCTGTGTCCCTCTCCAGTTTCTACTTGTGCACCTTCCCCTTGACCTGCCACACTTCCTCTTTCAGCATCTTGAACACACCCAATGCCCTCCCTCCTCATGCCTCTGCCAACTCTGGCAGTAATACTCTTTACCAACTTCTTTACTTCCTGAACTATATTCATCCTTCAGATCCCAGCTCAAATATCAGTTCCTCAGGACTAGGTAATACCTTCCTATTGCATACTCTATTTTTTTCCCTCTCTACCATTTATTGCCACTGAATTGTAATTTATATGAGATTATTTTTTAATGCTTTCAAGACTATATACTCCATGAGTGTAGGGACTAAGTCTGTCTTGTTCATCCCTGTGTCTCCAGCAAATAGCAAATGACTCGGTTCATAGTATATGTTGAATGAAAAGTAATCCTCATGTCCCAAATGATCAGATGAAAAAAAAAAAATCTATCTTAATTATCTCCAGCTGTAGGAATAATGTAATCACTGGCCTGGCAGGGAGTGGGTATATGGATATACTGGGAGTGAAGGGGAAGATTGGAAATGAATACTCCAGCCTAACAGCAGCATTAGTCATAGCCAAAAGGTGAAAACAATCTAAATATTTAACAGCTGAGAGTGGATGAGTAAAATATGGTATATCTATGTAAGGGAGTATTATCCCACAATAAAAAGGAATGTGCTAATATATGGTACAACATGGATGAACCTTGAAAACTTGCTAAGTCAAATAAACCAGACAACAAAGGCCACATATTATATAATTCCATTTATGTGGAATCACATAATTTCTAGAATAGGCAAACTTATAAAGACAGAAATTAGAAAGTTGTTGCTTTTGTGGGGAGGAGGAGGCCTCTGTGAGGTAACAGAGGGGCAGATGGGAAATAACTGCTAAAAAGGATTTTTGGGGAATGAAGAAATGTTCTAAAATGGATTGTAGTGATTGTTACATAACTCTGTGAATATACTAAAACACACTGAATTATATACTGTAAATAGTGAATTGTATGGTATGTGAATTATATCTCAACAAAGTTGTTATTTTTTAAAGGTATGCTGAGAACCCCTTGTCATACAAGATAATGAGGAAACTATCAGACTATTCAGTAATATCAAAATAATTCAGGAGCTAATTTAAAACATTTCCCTTAAATGAGACAACTATTATCTTTTAGTAGTTGCAATTAATTAAACCCATGACATTTGTTTAAATTTATGAATTTGTGATATTTTAAAAAGAGAAGTGCCAATCAGTCACTTTCAGAGGATGACAACAAATTCATTATCTAAAAACTGATAAAGGGAACAATGCATCAAGTATTTATTCTGCCTTTCCTATACAAACTGAAGTATACCACTAGGAAACCAAACAGTAGATGATGAGAAGCATCTCTTTATAAAAGTATGTCAATTAATAAGTGAAAAGAGAAATTAAAAACAGATGTTCACTATTTTGCATCTTTCAATGGATTAATGAACCTGGGCATTGAGTATCTACAGCTGCTGACATCACAGAAAGAAAATCGGATTATATACGTCTCCGGATCAAAGAACACAATACCACCTATAGTCTTGTTAAAAGGATCAAACTTAGATTTGATCAGGCCTCTGGACCCAGCTGCCATTTTTCAAGAAATAAAAAAGATGAAGCTTCAATAAACTACATCATGAATATACAGGCATTAAAACCAGACAATTCAACACTGATAACTATGAATAAATTGTGAGGAAAAGAAAGAAATGAAACATGAAGATTACAAGATTTATTTGTTTTTAACCTTTATTTTAAGTTCAGAGGTACATGTGCAGGTTTGTTATATAGTTAAACTCATGTACAGATTATTTCATCATCCAGGTAGTAAAAAGAGATTTAAAAGACATGAAAAAAAATTATGAATAAGTTATACTGTATTGCCTAGGTTTCTGTCTTAGTCTGTTTTGTGTTGCTATAAATAATACCTGAGGCTGCATAATTTATAAAGAAAAGAGGTTTATTTGGCTCATAATTTTGCTGGCTAGAAGGTGCAAGATTGGGCATCTGATGTGGGCCTCAGGCCACTTCCATTTATGGCAGAAGGTGAAGGGGAGCTAGTGTGTGCAGAAATCACATGGCAAAAGAAGAAGCAAGAGAGGCTGCAGGGGTGTGGCGGGCTCTCTTTAACAACCAGCTCTCAGGGGAACTAATAGAGTATAAACTCACTCATCCGTGAGGGCGGACATTGATCTATTCATGAGGGATCCAGCCCAGTGACCGAAACACCTCCCATTAGGCCCCACCTACAGCACTGGGGATCACATTTCAACATGAGGTTTGGAAGGGACAAATATCTAAACTACAGCAGTATACACCCCTGGGTAATAAAACTACAAAGAAACACAATATATAGTAAAAGTTAAGACAGTGGTTAGTACTGGGGTTGAGATTTTGATGAGGACTCCTGGAAGAAGCATCTGCAGTCGAAGTTCTCTGTCTTGCAATGAGTGGTGCTAACAAGGGTGTTTGCCTTTATAATAACCCATTAAATCATATGTTGATATTATGTATTTTTTGTATATGTGATTTACCTAACAATGAAATGATGAAAAAGGTAAAATAACTAAAGTTGTTGCAATAAGCTATGTTCCCTTTTTCTTTAAAATATTTCTTTTACCTCTATGTCATAAACTTGCTTGATTCATGCCAAGTCTATAGAAAATACTGTCTCAGGTAGAATTATTGATCATTTCCACCAAACTTTTTCTTAAATATTTCTACAGGAGGAATTGAAAATAAATAATCTTGCATTTTCTTTACTGTTGGATGAAGAATTAAGCTCCAGAGAAAAATTTCTGAACAACTACCTTACAAGGAAGCAGCAGGAGAAAGTAAGTATAGTGTCTGAAATCTGAATACAAACATTTTCTGATATACATGCTCCTTGTGAGCAAGAGCTCATGTGTCTAGACCCTTCTTTCCTTCCTTCCACCATTCCCACATAACCATGTGCATCCCTTGGCTCCCTGTCCGGAACTTTGCTCCAGGGCCAGATGAAAGTACCCATTCCAATCTGTGTAAGTTATGTGATTCTGCATCTGCAGTCATTTAGCCAAAAGAACTGTGTAGCTTTCATATGGCATGGTTTATAAAATGAGGCCATGTAGCTTCATGGTTGAAAGCACTGGCTGTGGGACCTTGTACAAGGCCTATAAACTTTTAAGCTGTTTACAGGCCCTTCTTTAGGGAATGTTTCTCTCTCTGGACCATTTGACACTCTAAGATTTACTAAGATGCAAGCAATGGGCTCGCCTATAGATGAAAAACTGTTGTATTATGAAAAACTCTAAATATGAGCATGGATAGATATTTCATTAAAAAGACAGTGAATACCAAATGCTTATCATGTAAATATGTTTCAACAGATGTCAGCTTTTATTAGTAGTATTAGTAAAGAACATTTATGAATGTGTGACTTGTAACATAAATAACATATGAACTTAACCTTTTTCTAAGAGCCTGTTAAATAGCATATGCAAAGCAGCTTCTAGATACAACATTACATATAACAACCCTGCAGCATACTAGATTTCTTTCACAGATGAGGATACCATCTCAGAGAGTCTGGGTAACATGCCTAAGTCAGCCACTAGTGTGTAATAGTGCAGCAGCTGGAACTGTGGGAATAAATGAAGACCATCCAAATGCAAATGAGCAGAGGCTGTTTATTCTGAGCTTGGCACAGCAAGGAACTCATCCACTGTCAGTTTTTTGGCAGAGACTCAAAGGCAGGAAAGGAGTGGGAAAGCTTTATAATACAAAGGGAGGACTTCAGGTGCAACATGATTGGAAGTTGTTGGCCTGAGGAAGCTAGAGGCAAACCAATTAGAAGTGGGACAACCCGTGTGATTGGTTTGGTATTTGGCTTTCTCTGGATGGTCCTGGGTTGGAAATGGGGACAAAATTATGGAAGCTGGTGGTTATAATCAAGCCATGAAAGATTGAGGTCAATCCTTACAAAGGCTGTGGTTTAGTTTCCCAGCTGGTGATTGTAGAGGTTGTGGGTCAGAGTTCTGTTGTATATGGTCTGGCCCTTGTCTACATGTATATTCAGTCTCTCAGAACCCCGTTCCAAGTGATCCCAAAGCCTGTGCGCTTCATCCTCCACACTGACCTACCAAGAATGTAGTGTGCTCCATAGACACTCACATACAGAGCTGTTTAGAAACAAGTGATTGGGTGTTCTTTCAAAGTCCCTGGTTGGTTTATTTTCTTCTATAAATGTTATCTATAATGAATACTTCACGGACATATTTCCCTCGTACTAGGAAATTTCTTGCTCTTTTTAGTATTCCCAATATTTATGTTTTTGCTGGAAAGTCTCCAGTTTCAATCAACTATTCCTGATGCTGTTATAGAGCCAGACTTCAGAAGCTGTCCGGAAATCTAGAGAAGACCTGGATGTGTACAAGGAGCACTATGACAACTTGCTGGCAGAAGACAAAGTGAGAGTCATTGTCTTACTCACTGGACAGTGCAGTAGAGTTGTTGCTGCCTAGATTGGAGGAAGGTTAAAAGGGATATAATATAATTTTCTCACAGATTTTTCTCCCACTTAATTCTCAGTTATGGGTGAACTTCATTCTATGCCATTGTATATTTTTGAAAATCCATGTGTAAAATGAATTTTTACAAGCTTTTCTGGTTTAAGCTGTCTCTTAAACAAAATACAGGGCAATCATCTAGGCTTTAAGGCTTTTCAAACGTTAGGTTGCAGACCCCGTTACTGGGCCATGAAATCAATTTAGTAGGCTGTGACCAGCAGTTATATAATGGAAAAGAATAGGATGGAATAGCATAAAGAAGACAGAATGGAATAGAAAAGAAAATAATAGGGTAACATTCATGTTTTTGGGGTAAATATATTTTAGGAAACTTCTTGGGGAAGCTTCTAGATGATTTCTAAGACCTCTTACATAATATTTTTAATACACTTAGATACTTCTTATTCAAAACAAACATTTGAGAAATCTTTGCACAGAGAATGGTTAATATCTAACAACTTTATAAATCAAGATTTCATGAATTTTTAAAACCAAAATGCTACAACCTGTATTTTGAAGCATATTGTTAACAAATAAAAGGTTTCCAAACCAAGTTGTAATCCTCAAAATCACGTGTTTGGCTGGGCGCGGTGGCTCAAGCCTGTAATCCCAGCACTTTGGGAGGCCGAGGCGGGTGGATCACGAGGTCAAGAGATCGAGACCATCCTGGTCAACATGGTGAAACCCCGTCTCTATTAAAAATACAAAACATTAGCTAGGCATGGTGGCGCGTGCCTGTAATCTCAGCTACTTAGGAGGTTGAGGCAGGAGAATTGCCTGAACCCAGGAGGCAGAGGTGGTGGTGAGCCGAGATCACGCCATTGCACTCCAGCCTGGGTAACAAGAGCGAAACTCCGTCTCAAAAAAAAAAAAAAGATCACGTGTTTGTTCTTAGGTTATGGATCGCAGCTTTAAAAAGGAATTTGCTGAAATTCCCAGCCATCAAGTGGACATTCTCTACAAACTTTTTAAACGCCGACCAAGGTTTGTTTCTCCTTCATTATTGTGTTTCTGAGAAAAAAGTTTGTAAATAAAGAAGAGTGTTGGCCGGGCGTGGTGGCTCATGCTTGGAATCCAAGCACTTTGGAGGCCAAGGCAGGAGGATCACCTGAGGTCGGGAGTTCAAGACCAGCCTGACCAACATGGTGAAACCTTGTCTTAAAAAAAAAAAAAAGAAGAGTGTTACTAGATTTCAGCTTTTTTCTCCCAAAAATGGAATTATTCAATATAATATCTTTTAGGTGGAGATGTTTAAGGATTTTGATCATAATTCAGTATTTTTTTGAGAGTATGTCTATATTTTAAGGTAGAGAATAATAATTTGTTTTCATTATTTAAAAATAGTTAAGGATCTATGTGAGCATGGTGCTATTCTAGGTTCTGCTTTATACATTAAGAAAGTCCCTCTTATGTCATAGATGCCACACAAATTTAAAAACTTTTTTCCAAGGTGTGTTTGAACAGACACAGGTTTCTTTATGTATAAATCAGAACTACTTGTAATAGGCTTCCAGGACTAAATAAGTTTGGGGAAAATACTGGGTTAAAAAAAGGAAGTTGAGCAGCTTTTTTTTTTTTACTGCAGAATTTGTTATTGGCCTTTGGATCTCCAAGTAAAAGAAACGGAGTAAGCAGTGTTTTCCAAACTTATTTCGCTATAAATTGCTTTTCCTCAGAGTATCTCATGTGCTTGTGCTCAAAGTTTGAAAGATGCCAGTATAAATGGTTGAAAATAACCATTTGAAAAGAGTTCTAAGAAAGTAGCACTCACTGATTTCCACCATTATAAATGCAGATTTTCATAGTTTTCAATCAAATGTAATTTAGAAATCATGGAGTTTGTCACAAAGATGTAGGCTAATTTGTGTTTGAGATACAAACTCTGACAGGTTACAGGCAACCTAGGGAATTTAACCTAGAATATGCCTCTTGTCTTGGTTTTCCTATTTTTAAAAAAGTAAGCAATAATTAGCCCAATTACATACCTTTTCCTTGTGAAAAAAGAAGTGAGACCCCCTGCAGCAGGGGGAAAAGCACAAGCTTTCTTGTCAAACAGAATTAACTTTAAATTCTAACTCCACACCTGTCAGACCTATAGCCTTGGACCATGAGCTTCGTTTAGAGGCTGACTTTCCTCATCTAGAGAATGGGGATGATAATATAGTTTCAACCTCACAGTGTATCGTAAAGCATCTTGATAGTGAGTGCCTCGCACAAATCTTTGTACCCTTCTTCCCTTCCCAGCTGAAGCACAGGGAAACAAAACTAATCTATTAATGTAGATAAAAAGAGAGTTGGCCAGGCAGTGGCTCACCACTGTAATCCCAACACTTTGGGAAGCCAAAGCGAGACAATCGCTTGATTTATTTGCCTGCTTATAGTACACAGAAAGGAAACGTGTCCTAGCACAGGTATGGCTGGCTGTCAGTGCTGACAACAGTTGGAGACATCTATAGTCTAGCCAGGGTCACATCTGAGAATCTGGAGAGTATGGAAGGAAGGGCAAAGTGGGTGCCTTTATCTGTGGAATAACTCACCTACCAGCTCTCAAATGCCAAAGGAAAGAGCCATACAATGTTATGCCTGTGCTAAGGGCCTAATTGTTTAAAATTGATATTTTTGTGAGAATGTGAAATATTGATGGGCTTTTCTTGGTAATACCAGGATTCCCAAACAGAAAATGCACTCAGATACAACTCGTGTTGTCCCTTTCGGAGAACGACCAGGATCTGGCAAGTTGAATAAGGATGCCTTTGCCCAGTTAATGAAAGCCATGGATGAGTTGGACAATATTAGTAACATGCCAGAAGGCTTGGACCCTTTGGTCTGGAATCATTTCTGCATGACAAGACGAGCAAAACTGGAAAATGAACAGAAAGTATATACTATTTTAATTTAATTTTTAGTATACTAATATCAAATTCATAGTTTACATTGGTCAGTGTAACCAGAAAAGCTCATTATTTAGGTTTCCCTGCTAGGGTAGTATTTGGTCATAGTAATAAGAACATAATGAAATACTGTATTAACCCTGGTGCTATTGAAGACTAAGTGTAGGCCTGTTGTTTTTAGACTGGCGCTGTTCAAAATAGTGGCCGTTAGCTGCACGTGGTTATTATGCACTTGAAATAAATATTGCCAGTCATAATTGAGATGTGCTGTAAGTGGAAAACATACACAGATTTAGAAGGCTTAATATGAACAAAAATAAATACATCTGGTTAATATTTTTATATTGATTATAGGTTGAAGTGATAATATTCTGGGTATATTGAATTAAATAAAATATATTAGTAAAATTAAGTTCATCTCTTTCATTTCACTTTTTATAATGTGGCTACTGTAAAATTTAAAATTATACATGTAACTCACATTTATGGCTCATATTATATTTTTCTTGGACAGCACTGTTGTAGGTTATCTCATTTTGCATAGATTAGAATTATATTTAGCTCAGCAGAACCAACTTTATAATTTTGCTAGAAGGTAGCAACGAGTAAAAATTTGAGAGTGTGTTTATTTGGGAAGAGAATCCTTCCTCTTGTTGCTTCTTGACCACTCCCCTAAATTCCCTAAATTTAATGCCCACATACATCTGGCTGGCATATTTTTGTTAAAGTACCTGTAGATCTATAATTTCACTTAAAGTGATGAGAACATATTTTAAAAATAAGATATAAGAGAATTTATAGTTGCTTGCATACTTGATTTTTACTAAGAAGCAAATTTGTGCTTTTCAAATTGTTCATGGAATATCCCATGTAAAATAAATTTAAATTTTTATTACTTTCTTCGAAAGATAGACCTATTAAGATTTTTACATTAAAAAAATTAAAAGATACATGTTCTTTAAAATTGAAGCTCCATGTGTCCTGACATGTTTCTGACTCGGTTTCTTTAGGTAAAGCAGAAAGCAGCTGGCTTATTGGAAATGGCAGCTTTCCTCCGGAAGAGGGTTGAGGAGGATGAAAAGGTGCAACAGGAGATTGAGAGAGTGTTCCATGAACTCATCCTGTAATTTGAAGCTTTCTTTCATGTTCACCTATTCAAAGTCTAAATAGGGCTAAGTCAGGTTGTGTTATCACTGCGGGAGAATGTCTACTGACTGACTGCTTTAAGCTATCTCCCTTCCAGCACTGTGCTTTAAAATTTGTATTTTAAAAAGTGCACTTTCTTAAATAAGACATTGATTCAGGATGGAACTTTCCTACATGTTTTATTGCTCTTATTACAAATAAACAAGTTTTAGAAAAATCTTATTATTATTTTAACTCTGTCTATTCCACATAAAAATACAAAGAACCTGTTTCTTCCTGTCAGTATTTTGGGGCTCAAGCCATATTAGCTAACTGTGTGGAAACTTAAACAGATGTCTAAGAACTTTTCATATAGACACTCAGCCAACTAATATCTTTTTCTTTAGGGGAGCTTGTTGTTTACTAAGTGATCAAGATATTTAAGTCCTTGCTTCATTTTTTCGCTATATTTATAGCCTCATCGATAAATACTTCTCTGATGTTCCCAAATTCATTGTTACACATCATTTTTTGATTTAGGCTATAGAGAGGATATGAATCACCCAGAAATAGATTTGTTAAGTAGCTTACAGATTAAATATTGTTAATACAGTATAAGAAATCAATAAGTTCAGAATTTTAATAGAGTTGTTATTTATTTATTATTTATTCATTTATTTTGTGATGGAGCCTCACTCTGTCACCCAAGGTGGAGTGTAGTGGCACAATCTCAGCTGACTGCAACCTCCGCCTCTCAGGTTCAAGAGATTCTCGTGCCTCCGCCTCCTAGGAAGCTGGGATTGCAGGCACCTGCCACCACGCCTGGCTAATTTTTGTATTTTTAGTAGAGACAGTTTCGCCATGTTGGCCAGGCTGGTCTTGAACTCCTGACCTCAGGTGATCCACCTGCCTCGGTCTCCCAAAATGCTGGGATTAAATGCATGAGTCACTGTGCCCGGCCAGATTTGTTGTTTAAAAGCATCTCTATTTTCTTTATTTTTACTTTACTTTTATTATAGTCAAAATTATATACTCTTTTCTTAATCGTAAAGTAAAAGTCTATACATGTATTTCTGTCCATACCATTCTTTGAGCAACCCAGGTATAATTCCACATCAATAAGAAAAGGTTTCAGAGAGACCTCCAGGAAAGCTCATCATCAGGAAAATGTTCTCCGCACTAATCTTTGACATGTTTTCCTTAAGCTGATTTGAATTTTATATTCTCAGATAATAGATGAAATTTGAAATATATTACAACTACTTGCTTTGAAGTCCATTTTACTTTAGATTACAGGATGAGAAAGTGAGATTCCAGTTGAATTTGACAATCCAAATTCTTCTTAAACAAGGACAAGTAGAACTGGAAAATTTCCAGCTAGTACTGGAGTATGCTGATGCAATTCTCATCAACAAGAACATAGTTGAAGACTTGAACTCTGTGATTCGGGTAATTATACTTTTTTTTTTAAGACAAGATCTTGCTTTGTTACTCAGGTTAGAGTGTAGTGGCACAATCATGGCTCACTGCAGCCTTAACCCCTGGGCTTAATAGATCCTCCTGCCTTCACCCTGGGAGTAGCTGGGAGTACAGGTTTGCACCACCACACACAACTAATGGTTTTACAATTCTTTTTTTTTGTAAAAACAGTCTTTCTATGTTGCCCAGGGTGATCTTGAACTCCTGAGCTCAAGCGATCCTCCTGCTTTGGCCTGCCAAAGTGCTGGAATTACAGGCATGAGCCACTGCACCTGGCCAATTATACTTTTTTTAAAAAAACATAATGTATTGCCTGCCTTGTCAAATATTTTTCATTATTCTCCCATTTTCATAAGTAATTTTAGTTTTAGTTCAATTAAGTCAGCGATTTCCTAACTGTGGCTGCAGATTAGAATCACTTGAAGAACTTGATAAATGTGCCCAGACCCCCCACCCCAGGCATGAGTATTTATTAAAAGCTCCTCCCTCCTCCATCCATAATTCTTTTTTTTTTTTTTTTGGAGACAGAGTCTCCCTGCAACCTCTGCCTCCCGGGTCAAGCAATTGTTCTGCCTCAGTCTCCCGAGTAGCTGGGACTACAGATGTGAGCCCCAATGCCTGGCTAATTTTTTGTATTTTCAGTAAAGACAGGGTTTCACCATATTGGCCAGGCTGGTCTCGAACTCCTGACTCATGATCTGCCTACCCCAGCCTCCCAAGGTACTGGGATTACAAGAGTAAGCCACCTCGCCCAGCCCTCCCTCCATAATTGTAAGGTTCAGGAAGGATCACAGAGCTAAATATTCATTCTAGTATGCCATCATTTTGTTAGGCCCAACCTACTCACACAAAGATAATCTTAGGTAAGCTTGATTAGTTGATTTCAGTCCTTGCTTTTTTTTCTAATATTAATATTTGGTGTTATAAATTTCCCTTTTTTTTTTTTTTTTTTTTTTTTTTTT